CACTACAGATACCGGCTTCCCAGTAGAACAACTAGAGATCTATCTCGATTCTAAAAAGTAGTCACCACATGGCAGTTAATTACCCGGGTTCGTGAAAACGATTAAATCTGAAGATAACTTTCATGATACCATTGAATTCTAATTTATGCGTTTCAATTGCTCTTCAGATTATTGCCATTTCGTGAAGAAGTGTTCTTTGAAAAAAAGTTGTTGTCTTTTTTGTTTTACTATTAACATTTTAATTACTCGTTTCTACACTGACTTCATTACCAACACATCAAGTATTAAATATGTATAACTATTGTAGAGCAGTTTGGTCTAGCTATTCTCTTTAATATTCTTTCATCCGTTTATCACCAGATTTTACACGTTTCGCCTACGGAATACTTAATGAATCATAAGTTATCAACATATCATCATATGTTAGTATAAAATTAGTGTCGTTGATGACTTAGTGTCTTTTTCTGTGTATACTTGTGTGTTTATGTATGAATATGTATATGCATGCGTATCCATGTACATGAATATCTTCTTTTCATATAACACTTCCCTGAATTTTTTTCTTCACTAACTTTAATCCAACTTAATCTGTATGTTACGTCACAATTACCATGTAATCCTCTTGCTATTACTGTGTACGTTTCCACTTTTTATCTGTTTCACTTCGATTCTAATATTTGTTGTTGTATATTTATCTGTATGTAATAGATATTCTTTCTTCGTCTTACAACTTAGTTTTTATGTCAGCTAGTCCTCAAGATATGATTGTGTTTACAGTGTAGTGAGATTATTAGTTTTTTTCTTGTCATTATTGTTGTTTATACAAAGTAACCCAGTTATTTTTGTTTACCAAACAAATGTTTTAAAGCATGATACATACAAAATTGTAGAGAAAGTTGTTCTTATCTGTTTTTCTGAAATGAATTGTTTGTCTTTTTTCCAATGCTTCATCAAATTGTTACAGATAGAGATATATGTACATAATATATTCGAGAAAGTCCCCATTCTCCACTCAATTCTTTTTCATACATTCCATGCTTTTTGATTAGTTCTTACGAAACAAAAACAGGAAGATTTTGTGGAATAAACCTATGTTCATTCTGTTTCAAAGTTCCGTTTGCTATGGTAAAGATTAATGCGTTGAAATAAGTCTACCCGTTAAATAATCTTACTTTTGCACATCCGTTGACATTCGTTCATAATAATCTCATCCTAATTACTCCGCTTAAGTAATCGTATATTTTTATTATGTTCATGAGTAGCTGTAACGTCATCTAGAATAAACGAACGGCAGACGGGCGGCCTGCTTAAACATCTGGGCTACCTGTTTCCTGTCATCTATATATTTCAACAAGTTATCTAATATTGTTTGTTTTAATACATCATTATGGCTATTAAGCACACAACCTATTCCGGTGCGTTTCTGAAAACTGTACAACCTTTCGCTGTAAAAGTTAGAAAAGGTCTAATCAGAGATGTCGTGTTTGCTGGGAACATGCAGCAAAAAGAATATACATTATTCATATGTCGATTGACTGAACTGCTGACATCCAACTGGCGATCACTGAATGTTTATCATCAGGAGCAACGAAGAAATAAGAAACGTAAATATGTTGAAATACTTTATGCTGAGAATTCGATTTTGTACCAAATAATATAATATTGAATCAAGCTAATAATAATAATAAAGTTCAGTTTGCTAAAAATACTGACAGGATTCAAAGTTTTATGAACCGTCTGAATCATTATTTAGCACAAACTGATATGATTAACAAAATAACTCATTGATAAAAATTTCAAATATTTGTTTACCTTCATGAATTTGAATTAGACCAAGACAACAATTGGGAGACTATGATGTGAACCCCTTATATATCATACTTTCTCTTCAGCAGCTTTTAACCCTATTCATATTGAAGTGTAACTTTGGAGTATACACTTTGATATGAAAACGGTTGTAAGTAGCTGAGGAGAAACCACAATATATAGTGAAGTCACATTATTCTCCCCCAGTTTTTTTTATTTTTGCCTAATTCAAATTTGTTTCATTAAAATTGTGATCTGATCAATATTAGGTCACCACTAAAAACCTGGAAGCACTGGACAGCCGTTTCGTCCCACCATGGTACTCCTCGACAGTGTCCATCCACGAATTTGTGCGCGTCTAGACCATTGAGCCGGCATCCAACTGTGTTGATGTCTAACTTCAGTCAATCGTGCTACCATCTTCCATTGTCTTCTGTGGGTAACTGCCTCACACCCGACACGGTTGGACATTTATGTTTTGTTCTAGCCTAATTTTCTTTGATACTCCACTGTCTTCGATCTTGAGGCTAGACAATAAGGAAATAAATTATTTCTTAGAAACATAGTTACTTTACAAAAGTATACAAACCTTTTGCAATTTGTACACTAAATGTTGTTTAACAAATGATTTATCATATCCAGTAGGTGAAGTATGATTCATCTTTTTGTTAATATTGAAGGAATGGTTCATAGTATATCACATTTATGCATGATAATCCTTGATAATTATTGTTTTTAGAACACGTGTTGTAATCATTGTATTGTACGAAGTGATTTTCATCATATGCATAGAAGAGTTTGTATGAATAAACAAACATTAATTCGTGTGAGCTTTTTTATAAGCGTATATTGGTTTTCTACCTCTCTTATAAATCAACCATCAATGTAGGACCATATACAGTTACTTTTATATGGAGATATACCAGTACGTGTTAACGATGAAGGCACAATGACAAATAGCCAATCATTTGCATGAAATAAATTGAATGTTTTCTATTATCATTACGCTTAATTCATATATCACGTGTTTATTATTTGTGTTCATTCAGGTGTATGTGTGTAGATAATTGTGCATTCCAGATTGTGCATATCAATTTTGAGAAATTGAAATAATCATAAAACGTCAATGTGATGCTAGTTTATAGAGAAAGAATAATTGAATAAAGTGAAAATAATACTTGTTTACATATTTAATCACTAATTTTCACTGATCCAGTCTCTCAGTTATTAAAAATTCAAAAGACATTGAATAAGTGTTTAAAAAAAAATAATTTTCACCATCTATTCTGCTGTCTTTCATTGACTATTACAGTCATGAATAAATTTTTTTTTATAAAAGCGAACACGTACACAAAATTCTCAGATTCTACGACAATTACATCATTGTTTAAAACTTTTAAACTAATTAAGGTCACGTTCATTAGATTGTTATGTAATATTCATGTAAGTTCTACCCACACTGACTATAATCTCCACTCTACCAATACAATTTTAATTATCATCGATACTTAGTCCTTTCATAGAAATATATGCTCTGTATGCGAACTTATTGTTTTGTTTCTAAATAGTTATGATTTAAAAACACAATGAAATACCATGATAACAAAAATCAAACTGTTTGTTTTAACAAGTAAAATAAATATTCATTGTTGTTGGTTGAATTTTACACAAGTGATTCAGCAGTCAGCAATAACTGTTTAGCATTTCTTAGGTATCATTGTTTCGAGTCTTCTTGACATTTCTACATACTGATGAGAATGTGATTTAAAATATAAGTACCATCCAGTAGTAATCAGTTATTTTGGATGATTTTCAGTTATTGTTTGTGGAATGGTGAAGATTTGTAGCTCAAATGTATAATTTTGGTAAAGCTTCGTTCTCTGAGCTGATCAACTAGTCAAGAAAGAAATCAACAGGACAAGCTATAAGTCACATGTGGTGAAATTCAAATATTTCACTTCTACCTGAAGTTTGTCATGATGTTGTTCAGAAGAACAATGTAAGCCCTACGACCGAACCATCCAATTCAGAGAAAGAAACTCCACTAAAATATTTATTTAGTCATGATGATTATTTCAACACAAGATAAATTATGACATATTGGCTATCATAAAATTACTCTCTGATTTTCTATATGATTAATTAACACTTATAATCATTTGAAAGCAATTCATTAATTCCATAGTTTATGATATTGCTAAATTAGACTTTCACGTCAGATAAATAATTTCGTGCTATGAGTTAATGAATTGACATTCATCATATTTTTATAAAGTTTTCAAATGTTACCCACCATTTTTACTATTGTAAATGAATCAGTTGAAATGTTAATTTATTTTAATTCATTTCATTCTGCTACATTTCCTAGGTTAATTATCATAAAACAAACTAGTAATAATCACTAAATAGCTGTTCAATGAAATAACTAAATAACTTATGAAATAAAAGTAGATCAACTGTTCAATACATCCTGATCCTTATTGATTCAGCGACTAACTTGAGTTTATGATGAAAATTGTCTTTAATTTGTAGATTAGTTTATGTTAACAAAATTATTCTATATGGAATATATATCAGTTAAATATTCACCTCCATTGCTCCATGTGGAAATAAAATCATTTCTATTATTTATTATGATTACGGCAATTTAAGCCTGTTAATATAATTGTTTCCTGTAGTATACGTATTATCTAAAGTCTCAAACGTTTGTTGTCATGATTTTTACTTATCTGATGACTGAAGTCATACTTGATTTTAACATAAATTAATCATTTCATTTGGTTATCTGTATGACTGGATACTCCATATGTGCACATATTATACTATCTAATCTTATTGCGAAAAATTAAGTAAAAGAAAATCAGATTAGTTATGTTGATAAAATATTTCAACCCCTTCTACATAGATACTCATATACATGTACTACCATATTATCTGAAAATGTATCATTTAAAGCTTATCGCCTCTAAAGAAAAAGGTATCAGCCTGCATGTATGTCTGTTTTTAGATGATTGCATTTTGTTTCTGTTTCTCATAATAACTCTGAAATTAAACTTTTACTTACCTTTGATAACTATCTATTTATCTGTCCACTTTTATTCATTATAATTTCGTATATAATCTTTAGTATGTCATATTATGATTTTTCTTTTTACGCGTTCTCTTTCTACCCCTAACTTTTTCTTGCATCATAGGTAGGACGATTTCCACGGCTTCGTGAAGAAATTGAACGTGTTGTCAATATGCGGGTTCGTGAATTAGAGATAGCTACTAAACAACAAATTCAAACATTAATTGATTTTCAATTAGCTTATATGAATACAAATCATGAAGATTTTATCGGTTTTCAAAAGTGAGTGATTTTTATTTAATTTTAGAGTTACTTTTTCTGGAAGTTCAACAACTAAAGGGGTAATAAACAATATATGATTATTTGATCAGTAACATCATAGTATTTAGAAGAATTTAATAATCCTCCCTGTAATTTCAATCCGTAAACTAACATTTAGGGAATTGGAAATCTAAGCACGGATTTAAGATCAAGTGTTCGTTTCAGATTACGGTCGAAGTCCCATATTTTAATCTTAGAATTAGTCAAAAGGTTCTTTTTATGAGGAAGTTGCTAGTAATAAGTGATCTGTCGTAGTGTCTTCATACTACTGAGGTTTTTGTACTATTTACCGTTGACTCCTGATTGTTCTCACGTCCATTAAAATCTCTTCCAAATTTTTGTCATTTTAGAAGTATATAGTCTTAACATAGATTAGGAATCTTGGCACTGAAATAGGAAGGTTTTCTGTTCAGTGGATTTTTTTACCTTTGTGAAATAATTTAAAGAGGTAAGCAGCCAACATTACGTAGTTAACAACAAATGTTCACAAGACCCGACTGTAATTGACCCTGAACAGCAATTTCTCATGCTTTGTGTCTAACCCTTCCGGTTGATAAACCATCAATATTAATCTAGTAATTTTCCAGTTTTATGGAGAATAAATATCCTACCACAGTATATGTATCCTAGACGCTTCGATCGCTTACCTGCCTCACGCAACTTTTGACTTCATCTCATTCACAACTAACATGTAAACGTTCTTTTATCGTGTCTTTTCGGCTTTATTTTCTCTCATGAGTGCAATTAATCCTGTCAGTTCGGTCTTACAAAATGTTATTCTTTGTCTCCTTAATACTTTACCCAAAATACATGTTTGAGCCTATGGCATCAAACCTTGCCTTAAATCAGACAGTACGTTCCAATAACCAGACTTTCGAATAACGAAATATATGTATGTGGTGTATTTCTAAAACCTACATGCAGAACAATAGAGGTTATTCGCTTGACATCATCTAGCTATCATGGGCCCCCAAATGCCCTGGTACGGCCGAGAGTGGAGAGAGTCTGCTCTCCCTCTCGAAATGCTTTCATATGGCCACGCGAATATATAGCCTCTGCCAGGGAAGTCCTACTCACTGCCTTCTCGTGGCGGGGGTGTTGTTTACGAAAGTGAGAGGACGAAAAGCGAATGTCCAGCGCTTTAACCGTGTTAGTAGACAAGGGAAGTTCACTAAGGGGAGTTGGAAAACCGTGATTCCAAACCAATGATGCACATGGGCTCCCGTATCCTGATGGAACGAATGGCGTATGAACCAACTGTTGGTCACCGGCTACCATGGGACTGCATCTCCTTACGATGCTCCACTGCCTTGTGGACTAGACCTTTAGGTCAAAGGCTCCGGGTGTGGTCCCCTAAGAAAACCACCTGCTTCGGTTTGGGCACCCGAACAGTATCACAGCCCTCACACAAATCTCATTCGATTTGTGTGGCGCATATTTATCTGGTGCTTCCTTGTACCAATATTTACGTGTTTAAATAATAATAATTATTATAATAATAGCCATTATGGAAATCCATTGTGCTTCATCCCTAAGGTGTATGGAGAGTTGACATCACCTCGTAGTCATGCAGGTGTAGGTAGAACATTTAATTTCAAACCGGAATGGACACATTTAGACTGAACATACATTTCTTGTTAGCTGTTCAGTTAGGTGAGTCAGTAAGAATTTACAAGGGTAGGAATAATCGGCATTTTCTGTTTGAAGTATCTGGCCACACTATCGCGAACTGGGGTTTAAGTAAAGTCAAGAAGAAATTTAGTGTATGCTTCTTGATCTAAATGCTAGGCCTTCAGGCTTAGTTATTATGTTTAATGGCATTAGCGTTTAAGTACGTAAAGTTTTCAGTGTTCCAAAACAACTGACATATGGTGCTAATGATCTCATACAACTGTTTCTAACTATCTTTTGCTTTTAGCATAAACTAAATTCAAAATAGGGGGGGAGAACTGTTTGATTTAGAGACCTCCGCCATTAACTCAATAATTGAATCGAATAGACCATATTTTCATGTCAGAATATAGTTAAACTCCGCCTTTTGGTTTTATATCTTTTGTTAAAGCATCAGTAAAGTTTGTCAGCCAGTCTTCATCAGAAAGCTATGAAAAACCAGTGAATCTGATTGTCTCATAAATTGGGAGATAGTGGGGAATGGATCTCGATCGGCTTCAGAACATGATAAGGTACCAAAGTAACCTACGTAGATACTATTTAGATAACTTATGAGTTGTGGTGGAAATAAACCGAGGATATAAAAAAAACAATAGTGATGATTAAGAGTTAGTTATTGTTTAAGGTTTCTAAAGAGACTAGGTCTACAGACAAGCAATGTTTCATTTGAAAAACGGGCGATATACTTTGACAACCAGAATAAATGATGAACCGCCAGTTCTCAATAACTGAATAAGAAATAGAATTATAGGCATCAAACGGTTTGATGCCAGATATCCTTTCTGGGTTTATAATTTGTGAGATTGATCAAAAGTTGATTGTCGGACATACTAAAGGGTAGGAACTCTCTCATAATTATCATACAATTATCATCCTGACCAATAAAGTTTCTAAAGACAGTTTTTAATACCATTCAAATATGAGGACATGGCTACGTCAGATAATCACAATGAGTTTCAGGTGTATGTCTGAATTCATTGACCGTATATCTAATATCAGTACATTTGTGTTGATTCCTATTTTATTTTCCTCTGTTTGTCTGTCCGCTTAATGAACAGTAGTCTAGAAAACTGAAAGCAGATTCAACCTCCCAAAATTACTGTTCATCATGTTTGTCATAAAAATAACCTCATTATAATTGTTAACATTTATGTAATCCCCTTGTCATATCTCTTTACCGCCAATTTCATCCCGTCACGTATAGAGCTTCGAAAATCATGCATATACGTGACTAAAGTGTTGTACATTCTTTTTTCATCTATCCATTAAGAATTGTATCATAATAACTCTGTATGATTTTGCTAAATTTCAAATGAACTACTAATATTAGTTCTGTTTAACAGTTAAAAAGTGTTAACTGTAGTGTAATTTGTGGAAGTGACCACTGTAAAGTTTAAAACTTGGCCTGGATCAACTTATGGTTAGGAATTAATTAAACAGTCACCTTGCATAATCAACCTTTATGAAAAGACGTGGCATAGTTGATTTTGTGGTTAATTGGATACATTACATTCACACGATAGATCTGCATAATATTTGTACTTGAAAAAAACAAAAAAAACAGAAACAACCAACAATCGAATCTAAACCAATAGAATCATCTCATGTCTGTTGTCTTAAATCTTGGTGTTATGCAAACTTTTCACTTAATTCTTTATTTCTGAAACTTAATTTGTCAATCAACACTATATGAAATTAGTCTATTAGTAAGTAATTTTGTTTACACAGATGATTCATACGTGAATATGTAAATAAGATTTTTCAAAGAATAGAGTCAAGATAACCGACAAAAATAACACCATCGATTGTGTTAACAACGTATCAAATAAATTGTAGTTATACTAAATGACCATTTATGTTTTAAATAAATAACATATTTACGAAGTTTGCATATATTAATCGAATTTTTAACAAATGACCTGTTGTCTGAAGAATGTAAACATTGTTTTTAATTTTTATTTATTCTTAGCATGTTTTCACCTTCACATACCTTGCATATTAAAATATAATTACTTCATTTGAACCAAACTTCATTATATAATATCAGTTGTACATTTAAAATCACACTTGTATGCAATTATGTTTTCTTAATTCGGAAATAACGATTTATCAGGTTATTTTTTTTAGAACATATCCATTACAAATTAGCAATCTAGTGTGATATGATTTTGCTACCGAGCCTGTATACATTCAAGCGTGTTTAAATGAATTGCAGAGACTTTAACTAACGAATAAATATGTTACTTGTCTAGTGACTCGGGATGTGGCCCCCTAAGAAAACCACCTGCTTCAGTTTGGGCACCTGGGCCGCATCACAGCCCTCACACAAATCAAATGAAATTTATGTGGCGCATATATATCTGGTGCCACTTTGTACCAATATTTATGTGTTTAAATAAATAAATAATAAATAAATGAGTGACTGGATAAATGACTGTAGTTCAAACTGCAATTTTTATTTCCCAGAGTTATCTGGCTATGCAAACTTAAGTCGTTGATGAGGAGTTTGAAGCTGCAACCCACTGCTTGGAAGTTGGACGTCTTAATAATCTAACTCCCGAATATATAAGCATGATATCGGCATGTCAGTTATGGGTACGAGGGCTAATATCACTTCTCGGCTGCCCATGGAAGGGTATTTCTTGAGGGACCTGAAAAGGAAGTTGGATTAGTGTTAGTCTAAACGACCTGGGAGCGTGATTACAATGCCCAAGGGACAATTGATTGAGGTCGGTCACGCACGGTCTTTTTGTTGGGGATTTTCGACGTGTTAGCTCCGTTCTTCAAAGGTCCTTACCACCGGAGACGGGAATCCGTGGGATAAGGCGAGGTCTGCATTTTTAGGGTCGACCTTTTCTAACCCCACCCCTCCCTGTGGGAAGGTAGCATCGCTGTTATGCTGGTTGTCTGAAGGAAACACCTTACTGCCGTCACACCTCTGTACAGTCAGCAGTACGACTTCGCCTTCGGACCTTGGGTTTGCTACTTTTAGTCTTACCGTTCTTCAATCGACCTGTCTGGCATGGTAGGACCTTGAGGAACGATTGTTCCAGCCAGTATAGCTCGACTGGTTCATCACGATAGGCAAGCTCGACCACCACGTCAAGATAGCAGCAGCGGTCATGATATGGGCATGTGATTTATTCTTTGTTTCTAAAAAAGTATTAATGAAGTAGTTTTGTGGAGACTGGTTTAATTTGTAAGTGTTATTCGTCATATTGTAGTGAATGAGAACACGAGTGAGGATTATGTAATGTATTTGAGCACAACATTACAGACTATCTCATTATAATCTGACAACCGTACAGTAAACAGTTAATCTGCAAACCACCGATCAATTGTCTCAGTCTTGACCACTTCTTCTGCAAATATCAGTCCATAGTCTTCGATTATTATTGTACATGCATTTTCATACCAATCCCATTTCGTTTCCGTTCTTTCGTTATCGATCTTCTCCTGAAATACATTCAATGCCCCGACCATCATTATATACTACTTATGTGGATATAAGTAATTCGCACCACAATAGATACACGTCGATTGAGTACCACTGAAAATCAAGGAGCACTAAACAAATGTTTCGTCGTAGTCTTGGACTACTTAGGAGTTTGTACACGTGAATCCAGAAAGTCTCTTCCTCAGGACTATAATCGTGTCGTCACCAGTGACTCTCTTGATGTCTTAGTGAAAATTCTTTGTCTTTATAGTTCAAACATATTTACAGTAAAACAGTCATCACCACTCCCAGTGAATGACCGTCGTTTGAAGATGCAAATGCTTATTGTCAAACAATAACGTACTAGTCCTAATGGTTAATGGCTCTCAATCTTAGACCTGACGGTTTGGTCCTTAAAGTATCATGAGTGCACACTGCTGGGGAGTCCCATACCATAAAGAGTCAGCTATCCAGTGCTCCCTATATTCAAGTAGTATCCAAACTGAAGTTAATCTGTGGCGAATACTACCTGGTAATCCAAATAAAGTGTTGGTGAAATTTATTTTGTCCTAATTTTTAAATATTTAGATTCTACATATACAGTTTTTGAGATTGAAACTCAATATCAGCTGATCACGTGTAACATTCAAGATTCATATCTAAAACGTACATGCGTTATAACGAATTAACAATATGTATAATATGGATCCTAAATCTTTTGTCGTTAGTTTTCCGAATTTGTTTTACACAAATCGTTTGCATTATGTTTCTTCATATAGTCTACAAATATATTTCACCTATTCGTTCACTTGTTATGTTTCTAGCCAGGTTTATCTTGTAGAACTTTTGAAAGTTTAAACCCTACTTCAGTTTAAGAATTCAAGTACCGTTACCAGCTCTCTCACAGAATGATGTTGCTCAATCCGTGATACGCAGATCTGTACATGATTACTGATTTGCATGTGTATTGATGTGAATACCTACTTAATGTGCGATGTGTACAAAGTAGTTAAAAATCTTTGTGTGGGTTAATCGTTAACAGTTCGCTTGCATATCTTTCAACTTCTCTATGAAGTATTTTAGATGGTCGCCTAATAAAATGGGTTGGTTACAGTTAGACTTTTACATCATTAAAGAGGAATTGAGTTTGTACGCGAGACTAGTTCTAGATTCGATTACCCGTCGTGAGGCTGTGGATGCGCACTACTGGAGGGTCCCAAGTCAGGACTAGACGGTCGTCAAGTACTTCCAGGCTTTTAATGGTTGTCTAGCTTATCTGGGTTCGTGATGTCAATAAAATTTAACAATCCCCACAACCTTATACTAGTAATTATCTAAAAATCCTCTAACAAAGTAATACTCTTGTGTCTTTTTTCTCATTCTTCATAGTGCTGAACAACGAGCAAATGATAGTTCCAAAAGTAAACTTGGCAATCAAGTAAGTGATATTATTGAATGTACAGCACTAACAGTAACTTGTAGTCTGTATATGATATATCATGATATCTTGGTTTTCATATTAAATAACAATATTATTTCTTATTCCGCTTTCGGCCCCTGATTACTTTTCATTCTGTAGATTCTGTAGAATATGTCAGATCCATTTTATATCAAATCCTTCAACAACAACAAAAAAAAATATATATATATATCACATTGTCCAAAGAAAGTGTATAAACGATCCACCCAGTCGATTGACACATTCATCTGAATAGTCTCCATTAATTATTAAGCAATAGTAGTTAAACCTATTTCATTAACAGCAGAGAGGTTTGTTTCTAATAATTTTCTCGAACGTTGACGCTAGAAATCTTATGAACACGTGAAGTAATTGAACTTATGTTACCAAATTTAAATAATTTAGGCGTTATTTATAGTTGATTAGTTACACATTCGTTCAGAGGGAAAATACTGAATAGACAAAGTTTCAGTTAGTTGGAAAAAGGTTTATTTAAAAGAAGTAAAGATTAAAGCGCATATACCTTGTGTTGTACTCAAGCTGCATCAGTATGTCGATCCATTTGAATTTTGCTCTTTCAATTACTATAGCATTATTCACTAGTATTCTGAATTTTTGTTTTCATGCTTAAAATTATTTATGAACTAAAAGAGTATAAAAGTTTTGCTATTTCATTCTATCAACAAAAAAAAACTTCAATGAATAGGAACCAACTGTAGGTGGGTGTTTAAAAATGTAGTTTTTCAACTCTTTCAGAAATCTCATGTTGATCGACTGCTTATCGGAAGGTGTTCATACCAAAGGCGTAAACTAGTGGCTTGCAATAGCCTTTTCTGTACATAAGTTTATTCATTTTCATCCCAATTGAACTGACTCTTAGTAGTGACGAGGTTCTGCAGTTTGTTCTAGCTCAGTAGTCACAATCCAGTTAATCATCTTGAAATACCATTTTCGTCTGCTTGATCATGTTTTAAGAATTTCATTCCCTCGGTTTCCGCATCACATATCATTTCCCAATACTATGACTCCGTGGAAAATGTAAGGAGTTGGTCAGTTTATGGTGTACAACGTAGTGTGAAGGATAGGTCTATGAGATTGGAATCTGTCCATTTGTCACAACTCCCTGGTTTAGTTCCTTAAGATGGTACAACTCAGCGGCTTGAAACAATATCAGACATCACTCAAACTAAATGTATTTTTTTTATTACGTTCTTTGTGAAAGATGAATCCTTTTGGCTGCAAAAAATCATGGCTGTATTTTTTTGTCACTTGACTATATCTGTTACTAAGTGCTGTCGTTGTGTACATATTTCTTGATTATATGACGCTTCACTCTTCTACTTCTACAGTTTTGCAGCAGTCAGTTTTCCTATTGGTTAGCCGGTAGTTTATTTTATTTCTAACAAGTTCTTGTATTTTCGAAGTTGTTTTGATATTATATTCTGTACAACTGTGTTTAATTTCATAGAATTGTATCAATATGCCACTTATTTATCCTTTTTATTATTTTTTATTTTATTTTAGGTAATCTGTAAAGGGTGGCTTAATTTGATCAATCCAAGTCTATTACGTGGTGGTAGTCGTTACTGTTGGTTTGTATTAACTACGGATACATTGACTTGGTACAAAGATGATGAAGTAAGTGATGCTTTTCTACCTTTCCGTTTATCCGCCCACCGTATTCTTAGTTCATTGTTTTTTTTCCGTTCACTTATTTAGCATTTACCATTAGTTAAGTAAAGATGGGTAGTTATTAGCAGTGGAACCTAGGATGTAGGTTTCGTTCTGTTAGGGACTCATAAGTATCACAGCATCGGCATTCACACAGGGATTAAAACCTAATACTATTCACTTTGAACACCTAACTTATCATCCACTGAGCATCTAGATTCATATAGTTACTATACAACTTAAATACTTGTGACTAAGTGACAATGTCGAGCCAGATCGTTTAGAATGATGTACAAACGTCAAAAGCGACCGATCCGTCACGGTTTGTAATGTTAAAAAGATTTAAACCATCATAAATCAATTTGAAACTGACTGGTGATCGTTCTGTTTTCACTTATTTCTATTAAAGTTGGTTGTTTTATTTTTCTGTCTGAACTTTTCTGTTTTCTTATCCTTCAAAATTATCGTGCTTAGATTTGTTTGTTTTCTCAGCAGTGATTTATGCTGCAAAATATGCACATAAATTTACATAATATGTACAATCATTCAGCATGTATTAATTTTCTGACTGGTTGACATGTCCGGTTATTATTACAATTGTTACTGTTAGTATGTAAAGATGAACTAGAAAATTGAAAGGTCCAGTTTTTCTACCCTGACTTAAAATGTAAAGAATTATTTTGATAAATATAGCATATGTTGAATAGTATTTTTCGTCGTTAACTATTTCAATTCATTCAGTAGTTTTATTCTAATAACCATTTGAAAAAAAGTTACTAATTGTTTTCATTCTATTCTACCTTGATGATTTTTATTTCACGATTTTTTGGTTCTTAATGATTGATTATGGTAAATGATTTGATGAAGATTTCTGTTTATTTTCATCACAAACTAACACCAACTGTAATTTTCGGAAGGAGTACTGCACCTAAACATCCCGTCTTCATACCCGCATTGAGCCGTAGATGCGGTTTACTAAAGTATCCTATATTTCATGATCTGAAACAGTTGTCCTTTCGTGTTCTGTGGCTTTCAAGCTAATCCTTTTCCCGATTGAGAAGTGTATTTCTTCACAAATTAAAAATAAATCATTACTAATTAATTCCTGTCATTTATGTTACGTCTTCTACTTGATTACAGTAGAATACTATATACAACTAACGGCACTCAAACGTGTAGAACCCCACGGTCGCAAACCAGAAGAGGGAAAAAGCAAGGGAAGTGGTTATTGGATAACAATCAAAAATGTACAGAAAAAAGGGTATTTATAGTTACTAGTATTGGCTATAACATCATTATAATTCAGCTAATTCACAAGGCAAGTTATGCTATTGTCTAATCGTAGCGTGCCATCTTGACACTCTAGGAGGCTCTATCAGGTTCTGATGGGATGGAATCTCTTCGTCTCCTTTAGAACCTCTGAAGGCTTCATCATGCTTTTCAAAGCTTTCCCAACACTTTACATCAAGAACTGGAAGATACAAACCTTCACAGATGGAATGAAATTCATTTTGGTTCGACAAAGAAAGAGCCATCTGGACTCACCAGCTCCATGGTCAATGGATTGGGTATTTAAAACAAAAGGCACTGGGCTCAGGTTTTGATGTGAACATTAGCATTACACTACGGGTACATTCAGCTGATGAATCTCAAATAGAACGTGACGTGCATCTTGATCTCACTACAAACTACTATGATGCTTTGCTTAGAATTGCTATTCATTTAATGAGAATACTGAGCCCTATCCGCCTAGGATACACATATACTAAAATGAAACTGATCAATCTCAGTCCTTAACATTGACAACGGAGTATCCGGATCCTTTAAAATGAGAAATCATTGTAATTACGTAACAATATACTCTCAATATGATCCATATTATATCCGCTAAGATACTTTCAATTATATTGCCATATGTGGACGAACTAGTAGGAGAAATTACTCAAAATGAAGTTAACTTGATAAAAGGAGTCAACCAGTTGGTCAAGGACTCGCATATATAGAATTTTCATATGAAGATTGTTAATTGTCAGTAAACTAACTAGTATATGAATCAATTAGACTCGTAGTTATAAAATATGTATACTAGGATAGAATGTCGTCAACACTTTTTATGAGCTATTGACTGATAATTTGTGATTGAAAATAACAATCTGATTTTGGTACATTCGTGAACGTTTCATATTATATTAAGCACATATTTATCAAATAGGCTTACGTCTGAAACTTGGAATAGTTCAGTTTAAAAACAAAAATTGAATTTTTTATAATAATACCCATGAAATTTGATTATCCAAAAATTAAGAGTTTTACAATAAGATGCCTAAACTCAACTATCTATTCTATAATGTGTGAACACGTCGAAGACTGCTTCAATCCATATCGTCATTCAGCTTCTCTCATTCCAATAATCCATTTTTTATATATCTCTGTCCGTCGCTTGTTTTTATGTCAGTCGACATGTCTTTATTTTAGTAATTGTTTCTAATATTCATTTGTGTTTTAACTGTTGATCATATATTTCTCAGACAGTGAATTATTTTCACAGTTATTGACAGTTATTATTGTCAAATAATGATTTTATTATTATGAAGACGTAGACACGAATGACCATGGATGTCAGTCAGTCAGCTACAACGTAGGACCAGACACATTTATGCATCGGTCCAAGTTGCCATACCTCGTTAGCACAACAAGATGAACACCGGGTTCATAGAAGTAATTAATTTAGTGGTGGTAGTAGTATATAAATTATAGGTTGTATATAAGGATATAGTACAGGAAGGAGGAGAGAAATGAAGCAATTTTAGTCTTAAGGTTTAAAGGAAGATAAAGAGTGTATACACCTACGCCATTGTGATCGATTCTGAGCCATGTCACCTAGAGTCTCCAACCATTGGTTACGATAGTCACGCGGACCCCAACCAGGTAGTCTGCATCTGTCAACATGGCTCAGGCTAGAAGTTAGTGACTTCAAACACTGATGCCTTGTTTTGGTTTGGCCGCCCCTAACTCTCTTCCAACAATCCCCTACACTAGTCATCATAGCGCGTCGTGGTAATCGGTGTTCAGGCATACGTAACACATGGCCCAACCATCTCAGTCGATGAAGATTCATGACCTCATCAACTGATTTACCATCATTCCCAAATACCCTGCGTCTAATCTCATTATTACTTACCCGGTGATCCCAGCAGATGCGAGCAATATTTCTAAGGCATCTGTGGTCAAATACTAGTAACCTACGAGTATCTTCTACTCTTAATAGCCACGTTTTGCAGCCGTAAAGTAGAACAGAGCGAACTGCTGCGCAGTATATTTGTCCCTTAATTGATAGACGGATATCTTGTCTTCGCCATAAGTGACGTAAGTTGGCAAAAGCCAAACGAGCTTTTCGAATCCGTGCTGAGATTTCGTCAGACACCAACCCATTAGGGCTGATCAGATTTCCAAGATAAGTGAAGTTGTCAACGCGTTCGACTACTTCACTCCGTATCCTTAGTTCAGGTGTTGATGCAGGCCAGTCCTGGAGTAACAATTTACATTTGGATGGGGAGAATCGCATCCCAAACATCTTGGCATTATTACTGAGTTCCAACAGAAGACTCTGCATTTTGTCAGTGTCTTCACCAAACAGGACTATGTCATCTGCGTATTCTAAGTCGCTTAGTGGTCCCCCTGGTAGGAGATCAATTCCTGTAAATTCAGTCGAAGAGAGTGTTATTTCCAGCAACAGGTCTATAATGAAGTTAAACAAAAATGGGGATAGTGGACAGCCTTGACGGACACCACTTGAGGTTGTAAAATCATATGACAGTTCGCCATAAGCTCTCACTCGACTGGTAGTGTTCGAGTAAAGAGTCTTCACAAGGTTTATGTACTTCTCATGTACACCTTTCAATGACAGACACTGTCACAGAACCTCTCGGTCTACAGAGTCAAATGCTGCTTTCAAGTCAAGAAAAACTATCATTGTCGGACACCGATAAGCGTGTCTGTGCTCTAAAACTTGACGAATAGTGAATATGTGGTCGATACAGCCACGACCAGGTCTGAAGCCAGCCTGATTTTCTCGTGTTTGCAGTTCACGAGTCTTAGTTAGGCGCCCGATAATTATTGAGTCTAGTATGGATGGATGTTGTCACGAGCAGCAGTTCGATCGTTTTGTGAAATATTGTCTGACTGAAAACGGATTCTTAAAAAAAGAAATCGATCACAAACCTTCTTTTTACCATGCATAGATTTAAAAAGACTTATAAAATTCTATAAAGCTGTGATTATTTAGGTGAGTTATGGCATAAATGTAGATTATCATGACTTTAAGGCTAACCAAAATCTTTTGAAAGGAAACATTATGGGATAAGTGCAGTAAAATGGGTATATCATGACAATCTATACAGGATACACATGTGCCCAGAAAATACCTGTTGAAAATCACTCCTGAATATCAACAACAGACTAATTTGGGCACTTACTAATCTGGTCTCAGTGGATTATATGTCTGAGTTTGAACACTTTCTTTGAATATCTATTTGAACATCACTACTCAAATGCAGTTGCATCCAATTGATGAGTTCAAAATAATATGTTACGCACGTATCGAATTCCACCGCTAGTCATTATCCATCCATTCTATAAAAGGAAACGTTGCTGTTTCAATAATTTTACGAGAGCAAATATTCTACGTCACATTAATTGGTTTTCTAGCAGTAACAACTGAAATTATCAAGTCAATATTATCCATGGGTTCAGTCATAAAATGTGAAACTTTTGAATAAATTTCACGAATTTTTTTTACCAGTATGCTTTCGATTCTAACTGTTGTATATGTTTTCATTGATCAGAAGCGATTAGTGAATCCTTTTCTCGTTTATTTTTTTGAAGCATAACGTACTAAGATTATGTAAAATCTTACCCAGTATATTACCACTTACATAATCTAGTCATTTGACACATTGAGAATGAGTTTTCTCAAGGTAATTAGTCCCAAGTACTCAATTTAATTTTTTTTATGACAGCTAATATTAGTAATAACTTAATGAAGCTGAAACAAATGATGCGACGTTTATACATGCTTGCAATGTATTAATTGAAAAATGAGTAGTATTATCATTAAACCAGCGCTTCAAATAAATGATTGGGATATGACGAATCAAAAGTGATATATTTTCATTCAAATGTCTCAATCTATGTGAAAATGATTCTAATGACTCGTAGTCTTGTTGGCCAAATTACAGATATAAAGCCCACCCTCCCCTCCAAATAATTGGATAGCAAAATATAAAATGACCGACTGTTAGAAACGTACATTTTCGTTAAATTGTTAATTCATATAAAAAATATTTTACTATTAACATACAATCTAACTTGATCAAATCTCACTGACTACTTTCAAATTATCCAACACTTAAGTGTGTTCTCGAATGATATTGCATATATTTATGTAATTCTATGATTTGTCTTCGATCATTTCATTCTATTGTGCCAACATAAATTGATAATAATAATAAGCTCACTAGTGACTGACTTCGAGAGGTAAATCCAGGAGTTCTAGTGAAAAGCAGTGACCAGTGGAGTTCAAACCACGTCTGTTGTGAGATCTCAACTCAATGAGGACAATTGGTGAACGGTTGCTCAACTTCGTGGATCAGTTGAAGTTAGACATTAACACCGTTGGATGCCGGCTCATTGGTCTATCGGTTGAGTGCTCGCGCACGAAACTGGTAGGTCCTGGGTTCGAATCTCGTGAGTGCGGGATCGTGGATGCGCACCGCTGAAGAGTCCCACAATAGGAGCAGACGGCCGTCTAGTGCTTCCAGGTTTTTCCTGGTGGTCTAGCTTCATTTGACTCACGCTTTTAACTTCTGATAATAAAAATAATATATGTCAGGTTCTTTTACTCTGTATCTCATTGACTAAAAATCTACGGATTAATATTTACAAATTATACTCTTAATCCAATATTGAAAATCAGTATATGTATCATCTTTATGATTGTAATCTCTTATAACTTTCATGTACCTTATTAAAAAATTATACTTTTAAATACTTGAAATCCTTAAAAGAAAAAAAATAATAAAGTGACAATTAAACCTACATTGTTTTATTTATTTACAGTTGTGGTTGTTGTGGTTGTTTTTTCTTTTAATTAACTTTGTTTTATTATAAGTGTATTCACAAAAAAGTATGTGTCTTGTTTAAGAAAGTATACAGAGTGAAAATTCCATTTTGTGTTAACACACTAATGTTTTATCATTGTTACTATTATTAGCAGTATTAATTTCTCTTTTCATCCACCACTACTATTATTCGTTATTTTTTTAATGTGAAGTACAATATTTGGTTTACGGTCTCATCCTAGATCTAATACACTTTTTTGTTTTATGCAATTTTTTTCTTACTGAATTTTTTTCATTTATCGATTGTTTAAAGCATATGATAAACAAGGTCAAACTTTGTTGGTTCTCTCAACAAAAAATTTATTTACATACTCATTTCGGTGTTCTAGTAGGATGCTACTTACTCATTATGTGTGTATATGTGCTCATGGTTGGTTGGTGCGTGGTTAGATATAAAAAATAATACACCTTATTTGTTTGCCATCTTAGTGTGTATCATGTTTTATTTTGTTGAATTAATTTATAAGAGAAAATTTACTGTAGGTATTAATTCATTGCCACATATCTAGGCACTTGTGAAATGTGTTAACCTTGTACTTGATTGGATGAAATAGAATATTTTTCAGTGTTTTGATAAGAAGAAAAAAGATGATAACCAAGTGACCTGATCTAATATAATTCCCAATTATTAATCGATTATCTAATGATTCTAAAAAAACTGATTTTTTTCCAAAATGATTGTCGTTACTGATGTTTTCTGGAAAAACACTAAGAATTAGAGTTCAGTACGACGAAACAGTTGTCCGATTCTTTCCGAATTTCAATAGTTCTTCAGCTAATGTCAGTTTAAATAATTCTATTAAATTTGTAGATTGTATTTGTCACAGATTATTTCTAACTGAGTTACCATGAGAAACTATGGAGAAGCAAATAGCTGTTTTATCATAGTGTGCGAGTTTTCATCAATACACACTTACAACCCCATGAGAGATCAACTACAGAACTTTCAGGTTTCGCATTGAATACTTGACCATTCGAACCCCTATTTCAGCGTCTTTAAATACAAATCTAACTTCAATCAATTCGTCATACAGCATGACAATTAGTTATCTGGACCATTTTTTTATGATTTTAATTTATTAAACTATCAAGAAACTCACAACTGTCATGCAATTTAGAATTGGTCTTAAATACAATATTGTTACTGACATACTTCTCAAACACTAATGCATTTGAGTTCTTGGGATTTATTATCTCCGATTTAAAAATGGACTATGTGTTTTTCATAGTACAATCATTTTATTGAATATCATAATGTTCTATCATGAGCACTTAAAATCTCCTTATAAAATAATGAAATACCATAGTATTTCACATTTTTACTTCGATAGATAAAATAATATATTACTTAATTTGAGCTTTTCGTTTTGATAACAATTATAGGGTATTATTTCTCCTATCATTGTTCTTACTAATGGGTCAAGTAGTACTAATAATTGCAATGTTTCTATTTTTAGATATCACTTTTTCGAACGTGACTGAATACCTATTAGCTAAACGTTAAACATTTTCTTTTTAAATACAATCACAACGATAAAGGCTTTTTGAAATCTCACATTAATCTTCAGTTATGCAACTCAGTTTTAAACTTATCGTTGGCTTGTTATTCAAGGGTTTAACTTGATAACACACACTTCGTGATGCTTAAGTTGTTCAATACATCCCATCATAAAACGTCGAAATTTTTTCAATTCTTTTTTCTCAAGAAACACATTTATATCTGAGTAGATAAAGTAGGGAAAACGACAGATTTATTTCTATATCGGTTTAAGTTTACGCTTGGTTGAATTTATAGAAAGAAGTACAATATTCTCAGATTGCATGAATGATAATAATAAATTTGTGGTATAAAGTTTATCAGAGAATTATTGTTCAAAATCCCTTATATTATGGAATTCGCTTTTGTTTTCTACTAGGAACGTGAGAGACGATTTGTTCTTCCTTTAGATGGATTAAAACAACGTAGCGGTGATACAGGATTCTTTTCAAAACGACCAACCTTTGTTCTTCATCATCCAGATCCTAAAGTTAATTTATACAAAGATCACAAAACTTTAGATTTATCTGCAGATACAGAAGAAGCGGTGGAGGCTTGGAAAGCTGCTTTAGTTCGTGCTGGAGTGTTTCATGATCCATCTGGAAAACCAGATGAACAGGTAAGTAATCAAGGATTCGATGTTTTCATGTCTCATTTCGTGTTATATTGTTTATTTTAATCCTTTAGCCATTGTATTGCAAAAATTTGTGTATATGTTGTTCAATAGACATGTATGCAATGTTCCGTCGTTGATATTCACACAAAGAACTTAGGTTGATGCAATGGATGACTTGATGTTACCTACATTCAAACTTACTCAAGAGGAAACTATGTTGTTTATTTATTTATTTATTTAAACACATAAATATTGGTACAAAGGGGTACCATATTTATATGCCTCACACTTAACTATCTTGAAACTTTAGCGATACTTCAATTCATCCCCCTAGTCTCTGTTTCCATAAGCGACATATTGAGTCGATTATTTAGCTATCAGTCCATTCCTTCAATAATTTTGTAAGTTGTTTTGATATGTGCTCTTTTCTCCTTTATATTGGTCAAGTGAACAATTATCTTTCATATCTCATTTCTACATGTTATTCACAACTATTATGTAACTTTCATTGAGCATTTGAAAATTTTTTCAATTAGCTTTTAGTAACCTTATCAATAAATGAACCCTTATCTGTTTTAATACGGACTATTGTTTAAAAAAAATTGTAAATACGATTGTACAAATGTAGTAGACCACATCATTGCAAATGAACAATTTCTTTATGAAACTCCTGTTATGCTTGCTGATTAATTATGTAATAGATTTCTTACGTTATAATACACGAAAATTTTGAATCTAGTCGACTATTGATCGGTAGTGAATGACATAAAAGCAAGAAGAAAATGAACTAATCTCGTCTTATCTTTCACACTACTATGAACAAATCACCTAACATTAATTAATCTTATTCTATTTGTTTGTTTTTTTGTAAACCTTATTACTTATTTTTTTTAGCTATTTTTAGTAAATTAACTTTATTCATTGATTTAGTTAAAGCATCATGTTATATGATCAAGTAGTACCATGACATCATATTGTGCTCTTCAATTTTAGATTTTTTTGTTAGTAAAACTCTTTATTCTCACAGTCCTTAATCTCAAGTCATATGATTTATGTGTATATGCATGGGGGAATGTACATCAACTAAATATAACATAGACCTTGTGATCACTTTTTATGTTCCTAGATGTGTGTGTACGTGATTTGTGGTTTGTTATTGTAATTATAACAACTGTATTTTAATTTCTATCAAATGACAATTGAGAGGATAGCAAAATATGGAATACTGACTTCGTTAAAATCGATAAAGTGAATGTTGTGTAAGACAATGGATCCTATAGCTATTGTGATCATAGGAAATAGGTTCATAATCTTGGTTTCTATGTTGTATAGACTTGTTAATGTATGCTACACATATCTCATCGGATAACGACCAAACAGATCCGAAGTAATTTGTTTTTTCAATTATAATTCTAGTGAGATTTAATCTTTGAAAAAGAAGATGGAAATGGAACTGTAATTATTCTTTATACCATCATTAGTTTATTTATGCAACTTCCCAACACTGTGAACTAACTGCTTCATCATAGCTGATTGGTTAAGAATTCAATATTACTTGGTCTCATGTTGCCAAAAGTTACTATCAACTTATTTCGTGGTTATCAGTTTTGTTTTCAAAGTTTCATCCTAAAATATACTTACTATAAACTGATTTTCTTTCTAGAAAAGCTTTATATATCCACTGTCAAGACGTTCTAGACAATGCCGTAATAAATATATATTAGATGTACCGGCATGTAGAGTTTCTCTATCACAATGAAATAGAACAACAAATGGACTAAGTAAAGTTTTAGATAAAGGTATTCAAACAGTACTCATTAGGTAATAATGGTTAGTAACACTGCCCGAATATTCCACATAAACTACAAAAAACATGCGAAGTCGTCTAACCTCAACTTACAATGGTGTTACTTTCTAATGATGAAATGGGTTTGTTATTGTGCAGATTGTTTACCTAATCAAGTATTGTTAAATACAACTAACGAGAAGACAAAGAAAACCGAGAGCATGAAATAGGAACAAATATTACTATGATAGATCTGTCGTCATGTATATGTTTGATAGTTTTATGACCGACTGTTTTTGATATATTTTATTTAAACTAACGCCCCCAAATGCCCTGGTACGGCCGAGAGTGGGGAGAGTTTGTTCTCCCTCTCGAAATGCTCTCATATGGCCACGCGAATATATAGCCTCTGCCAGGGAAGTCCTACTCACTGCCTTCTCGTGGCATTACTGTTGTTTACGAAATTGAGAGGACGAAAAGCGAATGTCCGGCGCTTTAATCGGGTTGGTGAACAAGGCGAGTCCACCTAGGGGAGTTGGAAAACCCTGATTCCAAACCAATGGTGCACATGGGCTCCAGTATCCTGATGGAACGAATGGCGTATGAACCAACTGTTGGTCACCGGCTACCATAGGACTGCACCTCCTTACGATGCTCCACTGCCTTGTGGATTAGACCTTTAGGTCAAAGGCTCGGGATGTGGCCCCCTAAGAAAACCACCTGCTTCAGTCTGGGCACTTGAGCAGTATCACGGCCCTCACACAAATCGAATGAGATTTGTGTGGCGCATATATATCTGGTGCTTCATTGTACCAATATTTATGTGTTTAAATAAATAAATAAATATTTAAACTAATCAACTGTTCTGTTATTATTCTTATGAGGAAGAAGTTATTGATTCAATGAGGATAATAATCGGGAATAACCAGAAACAACCTAAAACTGAAAGGATAGTTTACTAAGTACAACATTTATCAAACACTTAATATCTGTACAACTTCAGTGATAGGGGGAGATATATTTGCTGGCGTGTTTTTAAGGCAGTATCGGAGCTGTCTATATAGTGTACAATTGGTGGTGATAATTATGTCTCAAAAATGCATTGTGACGAATCATTTCATGTTCTCAAAAATTCACCACTAAGTGATTCATATAGAGTGTATAGTTAGAATGAGTTAAATGGTAAAGTTATTTCTTTGTTGTTTTCATAGTAGATGGTTTCCTACTTGACTACAGATGTGCATAATTGTTCAATAAACTTAGTGAATCAACGTTCCTACTGCCTAATTGTAATAGTAGTGGTAGTACTGTTGTGAATCTTATGTGCTTATTTTTATTTAATCATCTAAGTATGTGTATACTTTATTTAATATTCTTTTTGTGCTACAGACTGATGATGGTGATTCGAATAAAATAGCAACTGATCCTAAACTTGAAAGACAAGTAGAAATTATACGTAATTTAGTTGACTCCTATATGAAAATCGTTACTAAAACACAACGTGACATGGTTCCGAAAATAGTTATGCATCAGTTAATTAATGAGGTAATTTTATATATTTGTAATTTTAATCTCCAAAATTTTACTTTGAATGTAGGATTAAAAATATCGCTATCATTTTCATCTACACTTGAATGCTTTCTGTTTTTCTTATAATTTCTCCTTTACGACTCCTTATTTTCGCTTGTCTAAGTGCTAATCGAACAGGCGCCTTCATTTCGCTAATTAAGTGATGGATTAGAAAGTTTGCATCACCATATAGTTCTGTAAGCTCCTTTGCTTGCTAGACCTTCAACTACTGAAATACTGCCTCAGATCCCACTCTACCTTGTACACCCAATTAATGCCTTTATCTCTCACACGCAAATTTGGAGTACACGAACCTTAATTTTGCTGCTGGGTTGGATTAATTTTAATACTTATATACTATAAAGTTATGGCCACACTGACTATCCCATACTTTTATCTATCATTACATTAACTGCATTTGGTTCTGTATGATAAATAGCATTCACTTGAAACAGTTTCCCAACTGTGATACCTATTTAACACGTCATGTGAATACTTCAATAAAAATCCTCAGATTATCACTTTTTCCTTGATGAATCACGTATTGTAAATGATACAGTGTATCAGAATAAATTGTAGCAGTTGGTAAGCGAATGGTCTACAATTCTGATATCATGAAATCGTTTATTATAACCAATATATATATATATATATATTGGTATATATATATATATATATATATATATATATATATAGAGGTATTTTTCAACCAGTTGAATCTTCTTTGAATCACTCCTTTGAATGCACAGTTAATTCAAATATACAGTACTTGTGAATAATACACCAGGGCGTGAATTTTTTCACACATAATTTTCCATACTACTATAAATAATATATTACTAAATATCAAGTTTTTTTGCCAATTCGCTTCAATCTTGAAGGCATCGTAAATATTTTACTCTCTAAATTATTCTCAAATGTAGATCAAGACTTTTCTGAAAGGCGATCTCTTGCCCAAATTATATTCACAAGACCCCGTAAGTTTTTCTATATATTATTTTTGTCTCTGTTTTAATCAATTTTGTTTTAACTAGTTAGTGGTAGTTTTTATTGTAGTACTATTTGGACTATCTATATTGTTGTTTACTATCAATTTGACGGAATTTCGTTCCGTTCAGTTGTGACATAACGGATCGTTCAAAATATTTACCTCTCTGAGGTATACTACGATGATGAGACTGGTCATATTATATCATATCCAGGATTCATGACCCAGAATAGAGAACCAGATCGACACGATTTTACTTTATTCAACACAGTTACAAGCGGTCACACTCAGTGAATCCGGTGTAGAAATCAATAAGAGGAAATAAATTCACATACTTAATAGTTAGTAGGTTAATTGTCGTTCAGTGACCGACCAAATATCAGTTGTCAATTTTAAAAATAAAATGTTTTAAACGATTACTATCACAAGACTTTAAATGGAAATTCCCATTATAAAATGATGTTTAAATGTAGATAACAATAATTGATCAAAATTGGAGAAAAGAATAATGAAGAGACTGTCCACAGTTTTTTTTATTTTTCATGGCTGACCTATATTGTTGTTAATTGTCAGACGACAAAGTGTGGCCGATACAAAATCACTGATTTATATCTTTTATGTCAGTCAATTGATAATTGTTTTTTCTATTCACTGAGTCCTAATATGATCTAAATTAAAACTCAACAATCTCCACAATCCTATACTGATACTTGGGTTTTACTTTTTATTTATCAAAGGAAGTAGTGTTCTTTTTTCGAAATTTCAATAGCATGACATATTTGTAAGTAAACAAATTATCATTAGGTAAGCCAATGTTTCCCTGATTACTGACAATTGAACAGTGATCGTTATAATTGGGAAGTGTATCGTAGTCTAAAGTTATGAAACAATATTTCCACATTATAAATTTAATATTTGCAGTGAGCAACGTGATACTTTTATGTAGTGCATTTTAAACAGTCTGATCATAGATTTACTAAATCAAAACGTTTAATACGAAAACTAACGAAAGATCATTACGAACAAAAGGTCAACTAAGTCACAATTAATTAGTGAAAGTGTACGGAATAACGATAAGAACGTCGTAATGCCAGAAGAATGTATAATTTTTACACCACATCTGCCATGAAAACTTGATTAAGAACTGTCGAGGCAGGTTGAAAGTCGCAACATATAATGTTTGAAAACATAAACGGGGTTTAAAATTCCTAGTGACTAAGATTTATATTGGACCTGAAAATGTCCCGTTGACAGTTCGCTTGTCAGGTGTTGTCTTAAGATTTTTTGCTGTCTCATATATATACGATTAAATGAGAAAGATTGTTGACCCATTTTGATGTGATGCCATATAAATGTGTAGCTTTTTCGGGATATCGTTGACCAACCTCTTTGCATTTTCTATTTTATTATGTGATGTGGCATATTTGGCTTGTATATAAACCCAGTATGTTTGAAATACATGATTCATATCATGGAGGCTCAGATTTGCGTTCTGGACTCAACAGGCAGGGCTAGGCAGGAAAAAGGACCGATAAGTACTCTAGACTGCGCGTACGGGTTTATGCGTCATTGGTTCGGTCGATAATTCACTGTTCTCTAATTGGTAGTATCATTACGTTACATATTAATAGGGCACAGGCCACAAGTTATAACAATAACGTAACTAAAATGAAATGTAGAAAGCTTTGAATGTTCAATTGGTTAACGAATAATTAGGGTAATTACGAATAATCTCTCTTTATAATTATGGAATGTGACTTATTATATGGTACGATATTAGGTTATTCAGTGTTCTTTAACAAAGTTTACTATCTTAGTGTCGTTTTGTTAATTAATAGAGGTCAGTTAGTTTTTCTTTGGCCAAACTAGTACACATCATAGGTAATGTGTCTACCTGTAAAAGGACGCGTTGAGATCAGTAATGACCAATGAATTATAACTGCGTTGTGCTAGCTTGAAGTTAAACTCTATTGTGCTTTTTTTCATTTTCAATATTGGTTAAACTAATCATTTTTAACCGTAAAATGTTTCTCATGAATGAATTTGAAAAAAATCTCTGTAAGTTATTGACACGTTTATTGTTTGCAAAGTGTATAAAATTTCCATGTGAACACATTTCACGCATTATATTTAATCAACTCATTTTCTTTTTGTAAATTTATTTTTCTTATTTGCTCTAAATATCATCATCGTTGTAGAACAATCTTATGGAAGAGTCATCCGCTGAGAAAAAGCATCGTGAAGAAATTATACGTATGTATGATTCAATACGTGAGGCGTTATCTGTTATATCAGATGTCATAGCTAATACACATAGTGTCCCATTACCTCCACCTGTCAGTGATGACTGGATTGAGACAGTGAGTTTTGCCTGACATATACTATCATATTAATTTATAATTTAAAATCATTGATAAAAAAATACATCTTCGTAGCAGTTTTGATCACTTTCATAATCGTTTTTTGAATCCAGTTGTTGAAATTCAATACTATTTACACACTATTTCTTATACTACTTTTGCTCCAACATGAGCACATACAATCCTTACACTCGATGGTTGAATGTTGTTCATCAAATTATTTTCCTCTCCCATTCATAATTTAACCAACAAATTAGTTGCGTAGAAATATTTTTTGCGGGCTTTAGATTCAACTGTATAATAACATATCGAGTAAATTGCTGTGTTATAGCTCAAAGTTATTTCAGTGTTTCATCCTACCTTAATTGAATAATACTTATGCTAAGACAATTTCGAGATAACTCAAATTTCGCTAATTAGGCTGAAATATTACCAGAAAAAATAACCTCAAGTGCCTTTTTTCTAATCCGATTTTCCGCTTTACATTAGCCTTTTTCTGAATAGTTTCCATCTCTCATAGTTCGCTAAATTTCTGTATGGTAGAAGGTTTTACTTTCTTTACGATATATATATATATATATGGAGTTGTACTATTGTAGTTTGCCCTGTTCGCCCCGCTTCGAATATCAAGTTTTCTTATAGCTCATCTTCCCTTTATGTTATCGCCATTCAGGAGTTAAGTATCATAAAGTTAATGTTAAAATTTTTCTATATAGTCTATTTACATATTTATCACCAATAATTGATTTATCGCTATCGGAATAATTCGTTGTGTACACTGTATAGAGTAAGATAGTATTAGTAGTAAATATTTTGTGGGAATTCGTATGTTGGCTAGATTTAACCAATGGTTACCTCATTTTATACTTTCAATATCACCTTGTGGTATTGAAAATACATACTTAAGGGATTATATCGTTTTTAAAGAATAATTGCATGAAGTATAGAGTGGGTGTAAATACTCATGCGTCACTAACAGTTTATTAATAAACCCATCATTTATTGCAATTTTTCGAAAAACCCATTGTAATGTTTTCCTTAATTTCAGGAGTCATCTACTGGATCAAGTAACACTCGTCGACCTCTTCCTTCTAGTAATGCATCTCATTCCGGTCATTACAGTACTAGTACAACGCAAAGACCTTTAAGTCCTAATAATATCACATCAAATTCCAATCGTCCCATACCTTCAAGACCAGCACCAAATTTACCTATACGTCATACTTTGAATCCCCCAACAATTGTAACTACAGCCCCTGGTCAACTTCCTGCTCCACTTCTTCCTCAGTAAGTTATTCGCGCTCATTTATAGAAACAGAAACAGTCTCTTCATATGTTCTCTATGTTCACAGATCTGATTTCATATATTAATTGTAATGTATGCAAGATTGTTATTTGTTTTGGCCTGATGTTTAAATCAATGAAATTATCCATATGAACTACAGTCATGTTGTATGAAAATTGTTTATTTCCACTTGTGAAATTATTTTGGCTATAATATTTCGATAGAATAGGAACATACGTCAGTTCAAGAACAAGTTTAATATTCTATCTATTTTAATGTCTTTCGCTTAAATATCATCAAGTCATGTGTTTACTTATTTAAAAGTGCGTATGTATGTACGCACTTACGTCTGTTACGCCTCGTGGAAAAGCATAGGCCACCCACGAGCATTCTCCATCCAACTCCATCCTCGGCTTTCCTTATTTATTTATTTATTTAAACACATACATATTGGTACAAAAGGGCACCAGATGCATATGCGCCACACTCGGCTTTCCTTCCAGTTGTTATTCATTCTTTTGACGTCTACTTCTGAGTCCCGATGCAGTGTATTCTTCGGCCTTCCTCTTTTCCGTTTTCCTTCAAAATTTCAAGTTAGTGACTACCTCATGATGTAGTTTATTGGTTTCCTCAATATGTACCCTGTCCACTTCCAACGTTTTTTCCCCAATTAACTCTTCAGATGGACGCTGGCTTATTTTCTCCCACAGTAGGTTGTTGCTGACCGTATCCGGTCAACGGACATTCAGTATCTTTCTTGAGTAGACAATTGTCTAGCAATACTTGTACATTTTTGATGATGTTTTTAGTAGCTCTCCAAGTTTCGACTCCGTACAATAGAACTATCTTGACTTTCTTTCTAAAGATTCTGACTCTGATATTGGTTGACAGTTGTTTTGATTTCCGTTTGTTCTTGAGGTGTATGAATGCTGTTTTCTCTTTCCGAATCATTGCCTTCACATCTTTATCAGATCCTCTTCCTTCATTGATGATGCTGAACAAATACGTGAGGGTTTCCATCTATTCCAAAGTTTATCCATCAAGTGTTAATGAGTTTGTATTCTCCATGTTGCATCAGAGGATCTTGCTTTTACACTTGTATATGTTGAGGTCTACTGATATAGAGGCTGCTACACTGGTTCTCTTCATTTGGATTTGTTGGTGTGTATGGGATAGAATGTCCAGGTCATCTGAGAGGTCCCAGTCGTTCAGTTAATTCCGAACTGTCCATTGTATTCCGTGCTTTCCCTCAGATGTGGAGGTTTTCATAATCCATTCAAGCATCAGAAGAAAGTGGGAGAGGGAGAGTAAGCAGCCTTGTCTGACTTCGGTCCTCACTTGGAATGCGTCTGTTAGTTGTCGTCCATGTAGCCCATCGTATGAATTCCATATTATGTTGACTATCTTCTCATGTGTATTCACACTGGCCATAAATATGCAGGGTTTTTTTATAAACTGAAATTCTTTTGTGTTGAGCATTTTTAATAAGTGAATACAGTTAATAATCTCCTAAAATTAGTAGCATCTTGTCTCAACTGACAATTATAATGATAATTGTGATCGATTTTTACTATATAATATACAACTATTTCCGTATTTATTTTGAATATACAAAATATCTACTGTTTCCCATCGCTTCTTTCTTTAACTTGCTTAGTATGTTCATTTTAAAGTTTTTCATATTCTAGTTACTGATTTGTTTGTTGTTACACAGTATTTCATATATACAGCATAATGAGTAAGTAAAGATGAATGGGCGTTACTCTCTCGCTCTCTCTGTATGCGGTAACTAGACTGGAAATAAGCAGTATTTTGTTAGTCTCATTTAGTTCATCGAGAGAAAAAAACAATATGGCGAAACAATATCAATTTATAAATACTGATAATGATATAGAACATAAATAGTAGCAAGAAAAAGTCAATATCATGTTTACAGTCATAGACGTTCGCTGTCAAATTTGGATTACAATCAAGACTAGCATTTACAAACTCATGATCTCACACTCATATGTAAATCTCACTGAATTGTTTCATGTAAAAAAATTTCATAGCTATCACAACAAAAAGTGTGAAGTGGTAAACCATGTTCTTATGAAAATGTTCTGAATCGATGTATTATGCAAGGTTGTCACGTGTAAAAAAATATTCATTTTTCTCTAATTCACAATATATTTGTTAACATTAATCTCTGACTACGTAATACTTAGATCATACATTGATTTATCGCAAAGTAATATTCAACCCATTTTTGTTTATCAAATAGCTAGAAAATATAACTGTTGCATACACAGACATGTTCCTACTTCCTTATGAATTCGTTTAGCACATTGGCACCACGAAATGAAGTATGGAGTCCATCGTAAAAAATAAATATTTCGAAATACTGATTTACAAACAAGAGTAAATCAGTCTGCTATATCAACGTTTATTTATTTATTTAAACAGATAAATATTGTTACAAGGGGGCACCAGATATGTATGCGCTACACAAATCTCATTCGATTTGTGTGAGGTCTGTGATACTGCCCAAATGTTCAAACTGAAGCAGCATACCAGTACTAGATACTTGATCGCGTGATTCACTCTACTCACTTATCCGGCGATTCGATTGAAAATTAGATTAGACCATAACAAGAGTGTGTTAACACAAAGTACAAAGCCGTCAGTAAGAGAGATCAAAAGTTGTACAAATTTTACAATATAAGTGTCTCTTATATTCAATATAGGTTTATGTCTCTATCTTCAAACTTCATTATTCATAATTCACTTGGATTTGGAATACCACAGATTTCTCGAAGTCCTGAAACCATTTACAAAATAAACAAAGCGGCCCTATTTTTTTTACTTCTTTCATGTTAGAATGTTAATGTATTTCAGTTGTATTTTTCTTATGCAATGCCTTTTCATAAGTAATCATTTAATTTCTCATTCATTTATCTTAACATAATTAAATATTTTTATTAGAAATACTTTATCTAATCAGTCAGTCACTCAACTACAACGTTGGACCAGGCATATATATGCATCGGTCCAAGTTGCCATACCTCATTAGCACAACAAGATGAACACTGAACTGATAGAAGTAGTTGATATAATGGTGGTAATATATAAAAAATTGTATACAAGGATATAGTACAAGAAAAAAGGCAGATATTAAGCAATTTTAATCTCAAGGTTTAAGGGAAGATAAGTAGTGTATACACCTGCACCATTGTGGTCGATTTTGAGCCATGTCACGCAGAGTCTCCAACCATTGGTTACGATAGTCACGCAGACCATAACCAAATAGTCTGCGTCTACCAACATGGCTGAGAGCAGTACTAGTCAGCATAGCACGTCGTGGTAATCGGTGTTCAGGCATACGTAACACGTGGCCCAACCATCTCAGTCGATGAAGATTCATGACCTCATCAACTGATTTACCATTATTCCCTAATACCCTGCGTCTAACCTCACTATTACTTACCCGGTGATCCCAGCAGATGCGAGCAATATTTCTAAGGCATCTGTGGTCAAATACTAGTAACCTACGAGTATCTTCTACTCTTAATGGCCATGTTTCGCAGCCGTAAAGTAGAACAGAGCGAACTGCTGCTCAGTATACTCGTCCCTTAATTGATAGACGGATATCTCGTCTTCGCCATAGGTGACGTAAGTTGGCAAAAGCCAAACGAGCTTTTCGAATCCGTGCTGAGATTTCGTCAGACACCAACCCATTAGGGCTGATCAGATTTCCAAGATAAGTGAAGTTGTCAACGCGTTCGACTACTTCACTCCGTATCCTTAGAGTTCAACTAAAGAATAAGTTGAGTTTGTAAAATATGGACATGGATCACAATACATAATTTCTCTCTGTTCTTTCTTAATAACAAGTTGCCCTATCCGGTAATACTGGTTAAAATATCTACTTATTCTTAATATTATTATTTCCAATAATAGTTATTATTCACTTAGTATTGTTTGTTTGAATCTTCCCATTGATGTTTTAGAACTGCAACTGGTCAGTCTCTAATTGGCATATGTGCATACTGTGCGTATTGCCTCCATATAGCCTGAATAGTAGCTATTATTACTACTTATTTTCACTCATTATTCATATCTTCATTGTGATATTTTCTCTTCTGGTTTTTCATTATGGGTATATAACAACAAAAAATTCACCATATATTTCACAAGCTTTATTACTGAGCTTTTCCCGTGTATCTTGTAGTAATAATTATTGCATAATGAAAAGAACACGCCTTAAAGTATGTTTTTATTTTTGAATATATGGAGGAACTTTTATTGTTCTTTACTTACTGTAAATAAAAACAAAACAATAACTCATGATTGTCCATTAATTTTCCCCCTTTTTTATATCAATGAATTTATGTATTTATACAATACATTTTGTTGTTCAGATGCAACTAATCTAATTTGTTCAAACTTGCTAGAAACTTAGTGCTTGGTTCGTTACATGTATCTTCTGTAGTAAACATACAGGATTTTTCATACCAAAAAAAAAACATTTTAAAAATTATGCCACATTTATAATGCCTCAGTACAGACTGTCAATTTATGTACTATTGATAACTCTGTGCTCACTGAATTTGATTTTTTTTTCTCGAGTGTATACAATCACTAATGTTTTACTGTAAGATCATGTCGCTAAGATTATCATAATTTTTATTATTCCATATTTTTGATCAATTTTTTATACGAAAACATATTTTAAAGCAACTTACAAATCACAGTGTAAACTTTATTATTATTATTATTATTATTATCATTATTATTATTATTATTAACATTTAAGTTTACATCATTTGTACTGTAGTGAACGAAAACTCAGGTACGGTAAAATAATCTATCGTTACATGGGGAATTACACAGTGCGTTTATAAAATACGAAAATCAAACTTTAAATACATTATTTTTACGTCTTCCTTCATATGTCGTCTACATACTTCTTGATTCTGTTGTGATTACAATTGCTCTCTGTTTCGCTTCCTCTTCTCTTTAATTGAATGTTCTACTGGTGAGCATTTCATTTCCTATTGTTGCCACATACTGCCTAAATCTGTCAGCATAAGTAGTACACACCACTGTACCATTACAAATAGATATTTTAGACCTAATCCAAATATTTGATGTATTAAAAAATAAAGATTCATTATTATATTTTGCTATTTATTGTAATAATATTAGCATTACTCCGTGATCTAGAAATTGATTGATGTGAATCATTCAACATCAAGATACCTCATTCAAACGATATTCTGTGATTTATTTGCAAGAAATACTAATAAATCAACTCCAATAAACTTTTAATTTTTCAATTAAGCTACTATTCAGTCTAACTTAGTAAACATTTCATTGTTAAACTAATTCGTAATAGTATCAGAATGGGGTTTGTGGAGATTTTAATAATTTTATATAGTTGAGATCATGAGTCAATTGAAGCTAGACCACCATAGAAAACCTGGGAGCACTGGATGGCCGCTTCCACGTTTTCCATGGTGGTCTAGCTTCAATTGACTCATGATCTCAACTATATGTAATGTATAATAGGTTTAAAGTTATACTCTAGAAAGAACTATTACACATTGCTTCTGTTATAATGAGATGACATAACAATAGGATTATTGTTCTCTTCTAAAATTTGAGACTAAACTATGATATATAATTTTTAATTAATTTTTGTTGAATGACATGTAATTATTTCGATTATTTATTTATTTTTAATTAGAAATAATAATACTTATTTAATTTTTAAACATTTATTCCATACTGGCTAATAATGTTATCTGTTTTTTAAATCTTATAAAATATAGATTTATAGCAAAATGAAACGAATTAGCCACCCTTTTTTGTCATGAAATATGCTTCCTAAATGGATGTTTTTCACTTTGTTGAATGTAGTGTGTTAAAATTATCAGAACAATTCACATAAGGTCGATTAAAGTCAACAGGCTGTTTTGTTTTGTCAGAATATTGATAAGTGAATATATACAAATTTTATGTATTTATTTAAACACATAAATATTGGCACAAGGAAGCACCAGATACACATGCACCGCACAAATCTTATTCAATTTGTGTGAGGGCCGTGATACTGCCCAGGTGCCCAAATTGAAACAGGCGGTTTTCTTAGGGGGCCACACCCCGAGCCTTTGACCTGAATGTCTGATCCACAAGGCAGTGGAGCATCGTAAGGAGATGCAGTCCCATGGTAGCCGGTGACCAACAGTTGGTTCATACACCATTTCTTCCTTCAGGATACTGGAGCCCATGTGCATCATTGGTTTGGAATCAGGGTTTTCCAACTCCCCTTAGTGAACTTCCCGTGTCTACCAACCCGGTTAAAGCGCCGGACATTCGCTTTTCGTCCTCTCAATTTCGTAAACATCAGTAATGCCACGAGAAGGCAGTGAGTAGGACTTCCCTGGCAGAGGCTATATACGCGTGGCCATGTGAGAGTATTTGCAGAGGGAGGGCGGACTGTCCCCACTCTCGGCTATATCAGGGTATTTGGGGGCAATATATACAAATAATAATTGGTTCTGCTGAAACTCTCATTCAAGGTGATAAACGCGGAAACAATAATCGATTGGTAGCATCGATAAATACATTAATGACTAGTTCAATGTTATCGAACACAAAAGAAATGTATCAACCAATAACAGAACAGTTATTTTACTACTAACTAATGAAATACTAAAAAATAAGCGATAAAAAGCTAGTTAGTCATCAGTAATACGGTTTTAATGCATAAATTACTCATAGTGTTCTTCTTGGGTTGTTACAGTTTTGGTCTTTACAATCCTAGAATAGTGTCATATATTACCTTGATTATGTTACACATGACTTATAATATCTAGTTGGTTAAGACACATGAATGAAGCGAATGGAACTACTTTGGACTATTTAACCTGATTATTACTCATATTACTTGAATAAAGTCTTCTATGAACAAGAAAAACATGCTAAAATTTTATTCTATTGGATTCAGGAAACGATTTCATTCAACTTGATATGTCATACACACACACTAGTTGATGTTTTCTGAGAATGTATTTTTCTATCCAACCTATTTGTGAAGTTCTAAATGTTAACAATAACATTTTATAGATAAGAACCATTTTTTGACTAGATAATTACTGAAAAATCTAATAAATACTTGTGATGAAAAAGGGTTTTGTTAACAAGAAAAACATGTTAAAATTTTATTCTATTGGATTCAGGAAACGATTTCATTCAACTTGATATGTCATACACACACACTAGTTGATGTTTTCTGAGAATGTATTTTTCTATCCAACCTATTTGTGAAGTTCTAAATGTTAACAATAACATTTTATAGATAAGAACCATTTTTTGACTAGATAATTACTGAAAAATCTAATAAATACTTGTGATGAAAAAGGGTTTTGTGGAGATTTAGTATTTTCATAGTTGAAAGCGTGAGTCAATTGAAGCTAGACCACCAGGGAAAACCTGGAAGCACTGGACGGCCGTTTCGTTTTGTTGTGAGATATCAACTCACTGAAAACAATTGGTGAACCGTTGCTCAACTTCGTGGATTGGTTGAAGTTAGACATAAACACCATCGGACGTCGGCTCAGTGGTCTATCGTTTAAGTGCTCTGGCGCGAGACTTGTAGGTCCTGAGTTCGAATCTTGCGAGGCGGGATCGTGGATGCGCATTGCTGAGGGGTCCCATAATATGACGAAACGGCCGTCCAGTGCTTCCAGGTTTTCCATGGTGGTCTAACTTCAATTGACTCAAGCTTTCAACTATGAGAATACTTGTAAGCTGTTTTTCTCTTAAACTCTAAATCTATAAAATATATTCTTTAGTGTAAATATTTGAAATCAATCTTAGTTCAGAACAATAATATTAATTATTGTTAATATTCTATCGTTGATACTTTTATTTCCTTAGGCGAAATCTTAATTGACATCAGCTTCATTGAATAATTTGAACTTTGAAACTTACATTTCCTTTTCATTCAGTTATTTGAAGTATATATTTCTTTATAATCTATGCATATTTATCCATAACTTAAAATGAAAGAAACTTTTCGTTTGTTTCTCTCTACTGAATTGTAATTGTTTAGTATAATTCTTTTAGATTCTATCGACATTAACACCATTTCTGTGTTTTGATCAGTCTCCGGAGTTATCGTTTTCCCCACTACTATGCTGTATGAATAAATATTTGGGAAGATATAAATGTCTACCTATTATCTACACTCTATATCATATAGCTTGATATTGGCTTTTAATGTAGCTCACTTTAATAAATCAACGTCTAAACTATCACTATTTACCACTATACAATTGATATATATTCTTAACATATCGTAGTGTTAGAATTCACCAACTTTAATTCTCAACCCTAATTCTGATCAGCTGATCAACAAAGAGATGGTAAAACATCACTGCACTGTAGCCGATGTCATTTCGTAACAAGAACTAACCCTAACTTAGTACACTTATCCATTTCCTAATATGTAACCTTAGCATTTTTCTTCTACTGTCATAAATAATTTAACATGTATAGCTTGATAAATCATATCAAACTATTTATCGCTTTCTATTGTTAGTTGTATAACTAAACAGTATCCGCTGATTGGCTTAAGGTTCTCATTATCACTTACTTTTACCACAAAATTTCACCTTCTTGTACATCAATATTATGGTTGTGTTCTAGTTATAAAAAAGACAACAAGCTGTTCTATTCAAAACTGCTTTATCACACTATTATTAACATTAATGCCTTATATATCATATATATGTATATTCTTTATTTTAATCTGCAGACGAATGCCACAATTCAATAATGGTCTTTCTCAAAGTGCAAGTACTGGTAACCTCCCAGGTACTATATCTTCCGGTGGTATTGGTGGAAATACATTTATGACGACTAACCCATCGAATGGTTCAACACTAAATACTACTTATTCTACTACTAATGCACCATGGGTTTCATTTGATCCTCTTTTTAATCAATCCCAATCAAGTGCAATAGCACCACCGATTCCACCACCGAAATTAACATCTTTATCTGGTAATCTTGGTCATCCAAGTATACCAGAGTGAGTTTCAGTGTATTGTGTTGATATTTGACTTCCAGTTTATGTTTTGATTGTTATTTTTTATTAATAATAATGCTGTATAACTTTCATTTATTTTAGCTTAATAACTGATATAAAGCAGTTTTTGTTAATTTCGTTTGATTTCGAAAATTAAATATAGTTCAGTCACAATAACATAAATACAGTAATATTTAATGTCACATGTGGCTCCATGCTAACAACATTTATATAAGCTGACGTCACTTAAAATGCTACAAAACGTAACATACGTTGGAGATTTGTTATAACATTGTACGTAGTCAGTACATTGAATCATTTTAAGGGTCGAACCAGTAGTCTTTAGGTCATTTTCTAGACCAGTAGCGTGTTCATACTTAATGTTGCTAACATGGTTCAGTTTGATACTTAAAATAGATTTATCATGGGACTGGCTGTTTATAATAAAAATAATAAAAGGAACAATGAGTTTCCCCTTACTAAATTTTTATTGACATTATACTAACTGTTCATTAAATTCTGCTTAAAATTAACTGAGCCTATGAAATAAGTTATTTTTTCCCGAAATTTACGATTTACATTTCTTGCATTCATGTCAATCCTTCAGTTCAAGAGCTTACACTGTCTGTGGTAATATATATATTCATCATGTCTAGATATGTATGCTCACGAAGTTATCTAAGTGGTCAGATTGTGAACTTGAAAATTATTTGTTAAATACCTACTACATAAATGATCTTTTATTTGAAATTTAACCTAATATTTTCAATGTTATCACTTGATGGTGTTCCATATAAAGTGTATTAGATGTTTTTCGAATAACTCTATGTCTAACCCTGTACATGAATAGAACTTTGTTGATATGGTTCTTCAAAGTATAGATGTCAAATCGTTTAACTTAATCGTTCTCATCTCATTGATTATAGTCATTGATTATAATCGATCTATACAGTTCTCTATTCATTCACAAATACGTTATCCACCTAAGAAATTATTTTCATGTTCAACTATGTTCGTCTTTTCTTAATTTGATTCTGATAAGTTCGTTTGGTTTCGAACTATTTATACTGTCACTAATCTATCTATTCATTGGATACAAATCTGATGCATTATATATATTAAAGTATAAGTTGGTTATAAATGTATTGTACGCAATTTGTTTTACTTCTATTCAAAGTTTTTCCTGTATTTTTTCCTACTTACATTTTTATTGAATCTAGACGTCCAGGTAATATTGGTATGCCACGCATTCCTCCTCGACCAACTTCATGAAACAGTGTGTTGTTTATTTATTTATTCTAATTTATGCATATAGTTTACGGATTTATACATACAAATTTCAAAATGATTTCCTCTGGATTATTTTTTCCCCTCATTTTCATAAACCAATTTTTCAAATGATATTATATGTACTTTACTGTTTTCTACCCAGGCGTTTGTATGGTGATGTGTATCATGTTTTCACTGTTTAACAAGTAAATGAAAATTTCATTCATTTCCTGGTTTATTTATTTTATCATTGTTGATTCCTATTGTTGTTACAATGCACTTTTATCATAGAGCCAAAAATATCCAACACAAAGGTATTCGTTGGTCGATCTCTCTTTCTGCACGTATTTCGCTCATTCTCTCTTTTATATTCACTTCAATGAAAAGTCATACATTTAGGTGTCTCTTAACGCTCAAAATATTATTCATACAATTACATATGTATCTGATATCTCTTCAGTTGCCTGTATATCATCTTTATTTTTTTCAAAGATCTCACGGGTTCTGTCACTTTCTTCCAGTACATAATTTCATTTTTGTGTATGTGTGTGTTGTTTGCTTGCATAATTTCTATTTTAATATTTATTTCCGTTTTTTATTTCGTACGTTAATGGTTTCGCTCAGTTTTATATACTACTACTTACGCCTGCTACCCTTCATGGAGGAGCATAAGCTGCCCACCAGCATTCTCCATAGTACCACTATATATTCCGTATATTCGTCCGACATATATATGTATCCTTAGTATCGGTTAGTTTTCTGGGTGGTCAATTGATTGGATTTTCTCCGTCATTTTCGATGAAATAGATATTCTCCGAGATTTTTATTCATTCTTCAACAGTAAATTCCTGGTTCTTTGGTCACGATTAATGTATTAAATGCAGTGAGATTTCTCCCTACCTACTGTTCATTCCGACCAACCTTTCGTTTAAAGAGAATAATAAAACACTTGATATTGCTGTCGTCTTTACTTACTTCTTTGATAACGTTTGTTTAATCAAAATTAGACAAAATGGTAAAGTTAGTAGTATTTTGCCAGTCAGATTCTATATCAACTTGATTGACTTTTTTCGTGTCAATTCACTTCAGTTAATTCAGTTTGTTCTAATTATAGATGCTTCTAGTTTATTTCAATGACTTTTTTAATGGTCACCTAACTATTGAAGTGAAGTTTTCTTTGAAAAACTTAATTTTTTTTATGCAATTGAAATAGCCTTTTATTCTTTGACCAAAATCATTTAATGGCTTCTTATACGTCAATGTGTGAATACTTCGTCGTCTACGTCTCTCTTCCTCTCTCTGAAAAATAATTATTGTCTAATTATTTTATCAAATATTTTACTTCTCTTTCTAATGAATTAAGTTTTATTCGTTCATTTGAACAGTTTGAATTTTTATTTAAGAATATAAATATCCTTACTGCTTTTCTATAAAAGATTAAATCTATATTGTTTATATATGATGAATTAAAATGCAAAATCAGTTTCTTTATTTGTTTCAATTGTTTAAAGAAAATAATTTTTCAGAATGACTTTTGGTAAACACAATCATATGTAGCCAAAATAGTCGGAGCAACTTTCGAATCTACGATCCATGATCGAAAATCGACAGTCTTACACACTAAGTCACTGGTTCACTTGCTCAGCCGTACATAATAAGGATAGAATATATAATCGTATTGAATGTGCTCAAAAATATGGAAATTCCGAGATCTACTCCAAGCGTCTTGTAATAGCTACGAACCAACAAGCGCTTATGAATAAAAAACTAAACGTATGTGTATTTATTGGAATGACAAATAAAGAGGATTATTATGTATGAAAGATATCATATGAACACACCGTATATATATATATATATATATATATATATATGTTAGTGTTCTTACAGATGCTAGTACATTTTTTTGTATTAATGACCTAAAGTCTATCCAAAACCTAAGTTAGAATCAGTGCAATTTGTTTGTGAAGCATCAGTATGTTGTAATTAGTACAGGAATGAGGTAATTCAGAGAAAAGAAAGAAGGGATACACATATCGATTCAACTAATGAATGGTGTTTTAATAATGCTGTTCATCGATTGTTAAGTAAAAACAGGTTGCAGTAGAGTCAGACTGAATCGATGTAATATGCGTTTGAAGTGCTATTTGACTAGTCATACGTTTAGTTTTGAGCATAACTAGAAACAATCATGGCTACATAGTAACCATTTTCATTTAGTTAATTTCACTCATTACTTCTACTACCCTATAGTTATGTAAATATAAAACAACCCATAAATTCTAAATTCAGCCATATAACAAAACTAAATTCTGTTTATGTCAACTACTTATTATGACATTTTGGCAAATATCTTGAAGTACATCAAAACCAAGGCACTTATAAGTTCCATTATAAATCTAGTAATCGGTTAGAACTCTTAATAAATACTTAAATTTCACCAAATATTGTGTTTTTATGCTGTTCAAGCCGAGTTTCGGTACATAATTAGTAATTTTTCTCAAGACTAGTAAGTAAAACACCATGCTTAAAGTTCTTTAACATGAGCTGTACAAAATAGTTTTAAGTTTCTGCTTTTGTAATCCAAGAAAAGCATACTCATTAACTCAACTAATATTTTGTATGTCAATTATTCATTATTATCTAACTGCTTTGTTTAGGACTACTAACCAAAAGTTCAAGCTTTCAACTGAGACTCTAATTAAGAATTTATAAATCTTGAAGGATATATCTTTATATAACCATGTTGTTTTGTAATATACATTTATTATCGCTACATGCATCTATGAAAATGATTGCACGCAAAAAGTACCTCAATAATGGACTGTTGTCTGTGATACTGTTATGCTCACTGTATCGTATCCAACACTTTTAATCACTTTGGAGGAATGCTGCATATCGAATTGTAATTCGTCCCAACATATTCAACCCTAGCCTTTAATATATTTGTGTTCTTACTCTGGTGTATCTCACTTCCATGCACTGGATATGTCTATAGCTGCCAGTTGTGCGTAACTTCAAAATGTCCTCTTAATAACCCAACATAGTTGAGAATCTCCGAAAATGTTAGAATGCGAATAGCTAATTATCTGCCAGAACGTTTGCAAATCACTTGAAATGTGTTTTTTAAACATCTTAATCACCAGGTTTGGAAGGACGGTGACAACAGAGGTTGACTTGAAAAGTTTAATTGCTGACAAAACGTAGCAACTTAATCCGAAATTCAGATCTCCACCGACAATGAATTCACTGTGTTATGGTATCATCTAACAATTGATAGTCTGACTCTAAATTCGCCCACTTTCAATCTACTTATTAGGAAGGCCAACCCATCACTACGAATCATTCAAACTCAGAAACGCGTGATTGCATACATTTAATATGATATTACTACGAATCATCAATAACAAGTTACAGTCTCTAAATAATTAAAATATTACTAAGTAAAACTAATTGGTTTGTAGTAAATTTATGAGCAGCAAACGATATCACAGCAGTTAGTGAGTCAAATTACTATTTACAGATACGATAATATAACAATATTATGAACAGACAGTCTAGTAAAAACACAAAGTATAGAAACTTTTCCAACTAGAAGAAGTATGAGTTTTGTGATTTCTCTTTCCGCTCTTAGCGGACTTTGTTAATCATAAAATCTTAATGATTTTACTATTGATAACCAGTGACATCTGGCTCTTGAATCATTATTTAAGTAGTATCCAGCGTAACAGAAGAACAAAAAGTGGAAAACTATGCGGTAGAAATATTTCAAATAGTTTGTAAACTTATATAGATAAACAGATAGGGGAATGAATATTTGGTATGGACTGCTCCTAGATGTTCCATATTATTCAAAGAATTAGATTCTTCTTAGAATACCTGCTTGTCTATTTAAGTCCACCTTGAATAAACTAACGTTTCCATGAAGAAACTTAATCTGCATAGAGTTCTCAGAGTAATGCCATGGAATGTAATTTCATTTGACAGCACGATGATGGGAACAGTTTTAGTCTAGTTATCACCTCAGTATTGTCTTAATGATATCAAAAACAAATTTGGTAGTTGCACATTTTTCTCATCCAGTGAAATGAAAGACCAGAGGAAGATTCTGGTGTAATATCATCGGTATCATTCATATTTTCATGGTAAAGTTCTTCAAGAAATAATATTGGCTAACGAGCCGCTAAGAATCTGAGTACGTTGGTTTTCTATTTCAGTAATAATCCTAGACTTTATACCAACTCAAACGTAAAAACTTCAGTTTTCACGACGAGTACGATACATCTTGACCAGCAAGTTAAAGAAATTCAAACGTCCACATCTTCAACTATGATTGATTTTCTTTCTGAGCTGCAGTCATTAAATAATATTATAGATGAGTTAGTGTCTTTACAGCTTTCTACTAGAACTATACGAGATCTACCATAAAGCTATTCAATTAATGAGTATAGAATCATACTTTAAATGTCCAATTTTCTATATAACGTAGGGCTTTCATAAAAAATTTCAAGATCGTCACAAGACCACATTTTGAAATGAAGTTTTGAGGAAAAAAATACTAGTAAAGTAGAATAATTCTTTAATGTGAATCTTAGAGACGTTTAGATGTAGTTCTAACAACATGACTCCCTGGGTGATAAATAATAACTAACGGATTTTATCAGAAACATTAGTAAACTAATTTCTTATCTCTAAAGTAACGTAATCATTTAGAAAAATAATTTGTTTATTACTTATGTAAAAAGTATATGAAATTGTTTTTATTTAAATACTTCAATGAAATATACTTCAACATTTAATTTTTAAATTAACTAAAGTGAATTAAAAAATTAGAAATATCTAATTTATCATCTATAAGCGGTAAAAAAAGAATCTACCAAAAACGAAATAATAACATTTTAAATTTTCTACTTAATCAATTTTAAACTCTTACTTCCGTTCAATGTATAGAAAAAAAAACATTAAACAGTTGTCAAGACAACCTAATAAGAGAAAAAAAATTTTCCAATAATTATAAAACAATTAATTATACTTTTTGTATAATAATTATAAATAATTATTCATTGCTTAGAAGAGAAATTGAATAGTTCTTTAGTCAATAGAATATTTTTTCTATTCATATAATGAAATGTGGTATTTTAATAAATTTAGCCTCAAGGCCATCACTTTTAATTTGGTCATGGTTGAATGGGTTTTTTTATCGTCAACTAATATATACAAAAATTACTAACAGATCATAATATTATCAGTACATGGATTTATGGGCGATGTAGTATTTTCATAGTTGCATTCACGAGTCGAACCGAGCTAGACCACTATTGAAAACGTGGTCCTGGGTTTAAGCCCCGTGTACGGGGTCGTGGATGCGCACTGGTGAGGAGCCCCATACTATGATGAAACGGCAGTTGGTCCAGCTTAGGTCGACTAGTGAAATCATATTTACTCAAATAGCTGAACAATTAAGTGAACATTTTCTGGTTATAATGTAGGAAAATCGGTTTTATAACGCTGGAAATAATGAAAATATTTCGAAAGTTTTTTTCTTTAGTTGTCAGAAATGAAGATTGAATTTACTGGTTTAAATTCATTCGACATGATGAGTGATTGGAGATAATGAAAGTCAAATTACCAATGAACTGTTATAACACTGTCAAGTGTTAGGTTATTTTCGTTCAATATAACTACTCTTTTTGATAGCTTTTTATTGTATATTAAGTCAGTGCAAAAATCGTTAACCAATAATTAAGTAGTCAATAATTGTTAATATGAAAGACATTTTTTGTTCTGGATCAATAAAAAACCTCCCAACTGTATTTATTCTCTTTCTCGCATCGAGCTATGTCAAGTGTCAGTTATACCACAGCTATTATTGCTCTCTATTTAAAGTTATGACATGTTTTTCCAAGTTCAGTTACAAAATATGTGTAGTAGACGTCACAAATTTTATAGAAAAGATTAGCTGTGGTTAGATGGAGGATCCAGGACAAACGTTTCGTTTTCTGCCCATGTGTCAAAAACGGTTGGTCAAAGTTCAATAATGAGTAAGAACGATGAGATACTTCAAACCCTTATTAGTAATGCCATAAATAATATACCCATTGAACACTTGAGTGACGTGCTGAACTCAGTAGTTGAAAGGATAAACCGTTTGAGTGTGAAGTGTAAAGCACTGGGTTGTACTCCTGATGTTAGTTTCAACAATTGAATGCAGAAACGTCCATCTAACGAGTCCAAAGAACAAGGGACCTGTGTCTTGGATTCTGTTTTTAGCCGCAATCCGTCTATTCTATGGTAGAAATCAGGTTACATATGACTATTTCATAAATAGACATTCAGTCGGGATGAAAAAGCTTCTCACGTCCGTCTGATTTTGAACAGTTTTTCACTTGATTTCATACTGTATTGAAAGCTACCAAAAAATGAAATATTTGTTAATTAGTTTAAATTTATGATAGTATTGTTGATAATAGGTTTTGTTCATGTTTGATAAAATAAAGGTTACTATTAATCTCTGTCAAAATCACTTATACAGCTATTAATCAACACATTTTACAATTTATCAACTATAATAAGATAACTATAACAGCCTGATGGAAATTTTTAAATCATACTAACAGTATTCAATCAAGAGATCATTTGATAACATTTTTCTCTTATTCAGTTCAGATGAATAATGATCTCATGAAAACACATTGATTATGCTTGAATTCTAAGACAAGGCAATATCTGTTGCATTATCTAATTTAAATGCGCTCACAACTCAACTATTATATACTAAATAACGTTATTATATATTTTCCCTAGGTATCTGTGTGTAAATGTATCAAGGATGTTGTTTAATGATAGTAAAATCTTAGTAAATACTGAGACATGTTATACAGTTAAGATGTTTTATATTTACCGCCACCAACAAATTTTTTTTAATGTTACCGTTATTTGTATTTTATCTATATTATTGACTCATTGAATATACTTCTAGTAAAAGGCTTTGTAATAATACTTGTTCCTAAAAAATAATAATCTGCTATATTCTGCCTAAAATTGAACGAATACTATTACATTGTCCCCGCAAATTAAGACAAACGTGGTTTGACTTAGCAACCCAAAAACAAGTATGTGCATATGTAAGGGAAATAGAGTGTAGGTTGATGTTCTGTTACAAATTTATTAACGTAAGGACACTCCTAAATTGATTTGTTAGACATTATTCATAATAAATAAACATTTAGATTTATCAAGGAATAATACACAATCAAAAAAGAAATTGTTTGCAAATGTATTATTTTTGGTTGTGTCATGTTCTCTGACAAGAATGATTTGACAGTTAAGTTTTCGCTTTCATTTTGAACATCATCAACACTTACTTTTCAGTTATACTACATACCTCAGAGAAACCAACTCCATCGAATAAGTCAAGACGTGATACGAAATTATACCTGTCTCAAATATTCACGAGTATAATACTTTTCAATATGTTCAAAATTGGAGTACTTCACCAAAAGACAAGCTTTAACAAACACCTCCTTCATAGGTTTGACCAACAATTGTCCGAAGTAGAATATTAATCAACGATCCATCTCAATGTAAATTGGATGAATACTAACAAAATGTATATAGTTTATATGTATAGTTTATGCTTTTAAAAAATATTGAAACAACTCAAGTCTTTGGTGTTTAGTTAGCTTTCTTCAGTGTTATATGATTTTTCGAAATGGAAAAAGAACAACAAATCATCTATGAAGGACAGGTAAAGGTGAATAAGAGTTCTATTCTCGCTCACTTGGTGGACACAAGTCATCAAGTTGAACTGAATAAAGCTTTTAAAGTTATCGACCATATTGCATCAAATTTGCCGCATGGTTTACGAGCTCGTCTGTTGCACATAGATGAAACCATCGCAATCCATATTCACAAACCGAACCTTTGTATCCAAAAGAAGTTTGTACAACCACTCTCGCTACCTTGGCCGTCGGTATAGCGGAGTTTAAAGCACAACTTTGGTAAAGAATTATTTTATTTCTTCCATTTTTGTATTTCACTTATTCTCTACATTCGTTTCTTGATTCTTACATAACTACTATATTACTGATCATTCATCAAAATATTTGTTAGTTCTTTCTTCTCTTTTATATATTATGCAACGTAGCAACAGATTGGTTTTGGAATAATAACTTTGATTAGTATTAATCCTCTTTCTTCCAAATAATTATAAATAAAAGCTGAAAATATTTTTGGTAATAAAACAACAATAATCAGAGTTGATATTTGTATTTTTGAAAAGAAAATCATTCATATGTAATTATTTTTGTTGTCACCTTTATAAATTTATTATATAAGATATAAGTAAAACGATTCACTTATGTGATACCTTTACTCATTTCAATTTGCCTACTATACACCTTTTATTGATAACAATGACATTAGTTTTAGTATAGAATAAAGCAGTTTGATAAGTTTCAACTCAAAATTTTCAGCAAATTCTATTAATTTTATTAAAATATTTAAATAACGGCTGTCCAGTGCTTCCAGGTTTTCGATGGTGGTCTAGCTTTAATTGACTCATGATTTCAACTGTGAAAATACTAAATTCTCCACAAAACCCCCTCTGATTTATAATCATATGCTCACTAGTGACTGACTACAAGAGATATTTCCTTGAGTTCTAGTGGGAAGCAGTGGTCAGTGGAGTTCTACCAAGTCTGTTGTAGAGATATAATCTCACTGAAGACAATTGATAAACGGTCGCTCAAAATCGTGGATTGGTTGAAGTTAGACATTAACACCGTTGGATGCCGGCTCAGTGGTCTGTCGGTTAAGGGCTCTCGCTCGAGACTGGTAGGTCCTGGCTTCGAATCTCGCGAGTTGGGATCGTGAATGCGCACTGCTGAGGAGTCCCATAATAGGACGAAACGGCCGTCCAGTGCTTCCAGGTTTTAGCTTCATTTGACTCATGATTTCAACTGTGAAAATACTAAATTCTCCACAAAACCCCCTCTAACCTATAAATTATAGTAGTAGTGTCTATGATGTTTAAATTAATAAAGTATGAAAATATCTGACCATATGATTATTTGAAATGAATTGAAACTTTTAAAATTCCTAGTAGATTATTTTAGGAAAATATGTTTCTTAGTGTACTTAATTCGAGAAAAAAAGGAAAAGGTATCGATGATATTACAAATGAAAACATTTATTCTTTTGTTTTATTATCTGAATAGAAAGTTATAAAAATGAATACTATCTTACTGAACGTGTAAATCCATTTGTTTGTTTAAACTTCTCAAACACCAATCACCAATGATCTAGGCAAAAATCTTATCTAGCTGTCTGCAGAATAGTTTACAAACCTTTTAATTTATTTTCAAAGTATCGCTTATTACGCCATGATACCTTGTACAATTATTTGGTTTTCTAATGAGTGATTGTAAAACTTTATTTCTTTTAAATCTTGTTGTATTTCTTCTAAAAGTACTGATTCTGAAGTTTGTTAGTTCATCCCAATACCTATATGTCATAGAGCCACATATATTTTTTATTGTTTTTTAGAATAAACATGACTTAATGTATATTAGATGCAATTTTTTTACATGTATGTTCCTTCAGTTTACTATACATATAAATGCACTGTTTCATGATATTACAGATTGCGACGGATGATCATAATGTTGCTTTTTTACTAATTAATTAACTGTAAATCAACATCTAATTTATAATTAAAACCTTCATAACTGTTAGATCAACATAATGATATGATGAAATTACCAAAGTAAACAAATTGATACACTGTTCAAGTAACCGTGCTCAAAATCTTAACCGATCAATGTATAACAAATAGAAAACAGTACCTATCCAACCAAAAATGTAAATGTATAAATCAAAGATATTGATTCTAAACAAAATATCTAATCAATATAATAGGATTATGAATTATTTATTAATTCGTAAATAAACATTTAAACATACAACAAAAAGTCTTGAACGAAACGACCAATGTTTATCCATTCCTTTTCTTCATAACAAGAACTATTTTTTTAAATTACCGCTTTGTAGAAGTTCATTACAAGTTTCTTCAAATAATGAATTAGTCAATTTGTACTTTTGAAAAAAATACTTTTTTTTAATTTAGTTATACGAATCAATAATATTCTATTAATAACTTCATTGTTTCATCAAATAAAACATTTAAAATTCTAGAAATATCTAACCAGTGAAAAATTCCCTACTCAATAAATTACATACTTTTATCTAAAATGATTTATTATTATTAAGATAGACACCATAGCTTCTCTATTTTGTTTACGAACTGATAACCCTTGAAACAAAAAAAAAAAGAAATCAAATCAGAAAACAATTTTGCAATCATTTACTCGATTTAAAACGATGCATATATTAAGTTAGAACAGGTTACTATAACTCAATATATTACATTATAAATCTTAAGTAGAATAAATGTAATATAAAGAGTCAATAGATTATTCATATAGTTAGAAAGGTAGTTTTCTTTTTTGTTTACATTTTAAAATCATATTTGTTTATTAAAAAAATAAGATGGAATTTTTAATTAAGTTTTTGTACTTAGTTACATTTCTTCAAAAATCTTTCATTCAAATTTTTTTTTCTTCTTGTTTATATAGAGTGGGTTGGAGAATACTGGTCGGCGGCCTATGCTCCATTGAGAGTAACAGGTGAAGTAAGTAAGTAAGTGTTTATACAGAATGACAGCAGATTATAATAGTCAATGCTTATTATATAGATTAGTATAAAAGAAAAGAAAAAAAATCAATAAATTAAAATTTCCATGTTGATTTAAATAAATTATTATTATATAATAATTTCCAAAAACTACAACGTTCATTCATTATATTTATATATTTACATAAATGATCATTTTCAATTAAATTAACATCATAATTTCCTTTTTTTGATTCATACCAATTAGATATATATCCAGTTCTTGAAAATTCATATATTGCTTTATTAAGTAAATCACTAATTTTTCTTAATTGATTTAATTCTTTTTCATTATTATATTGATTATTTAATTGTAATATACTTGGATCTAGAAAATCATTATGTATTTCATATGTTCTTAAATATAACATTGCATCCCAACCATGAAATGCATATGTTATATAACTATTTAATGAATATGGATCAAAACGTCTATGAATACCAGTTAAATAATATTGATATATTGGATAATATTGATTTGTTAATTGATTAACTAATTCACTTAATGGACATGTTAATCGACTATCAGTAATTAATAACATTAAATTAGACATCCAATCATTGCTCTCATTAATTATCTTAGTTTCTATGTTATCATTCATGTATGTACAATTTAAATTATTTGAAAAAATATATTGATAATATTGATCATTTAAAGTGATATTATTAATTTTTAATTTTTTTATAATATAATTTTGATAATGATTTTTATTCCAAAATGGTATTGTTTTAGGATAAGGATAAATTGATACTTCATGAGATGTTTGTCCAATAATGATTGGTTTATTATTATTATGATTATTTGAATTGATCATTTTATTCCATAAATCAATATTTATAAATTTATTATCATTAATCAATATATTGAAAAAATTATTGATTTTATCATGATTATTATTTAATTCATTTATAGATGGTAAACTAAACATTGAATGAATTAACCATTTTTCAATAATAGTCCAATTCCATAAATTTAATAAATTTTTAAAATTATTTAATTTTTCATTAGAACAATTATTAGGATTAATATGATTATGACAATTTAATGCATAATTCATTGTTTGAATGGAATCATTTATAGATATATTTAATAAACTTAAACTAGGTGCTGTAATCCATAATTTATCAAATAATTGGTTGCTAATGGAACTATAGAATAGTGCTAATGCACAAGTTGCACCAGAACCATAACCAAATAATATAACATTAAATGGATCACCACCAAATTGTGCAATATTATTACGAATCCATTGTAAAACTAATAATTGATCATGTAATCCAAGATTTGCTATTTTTTCATATGGATGAGGTAAAAAACCAAATGGACCTAATCGATAATTAAATGTTACATGAATAGCATCAGTTTTATATACAGTAACAGAGCTAGGTTGTTTTGGTTCATTGCTATACATAAAAAATAATCCATCTATGATAATAATTACTGGTTTAGCTTGGTTGATTGACTTTCGGTTGATTGGTACATGTATATTAAGATAAAGACAATTTTCACTACCATCAAATGCATTATCTGAGGATTTTGGCAGTAATTGTAAGCAAGAAGGTTTGTAGTATTGTGTATAATAAATCGAGTTAATTACTGTGGTGTTACTTAGTTCCCAGGCTTTATGACATAATTTCTTTGAGGACAAATGAACGGGAGGTCTGAATCGATTCTCATTTATTGGTGGTAAAGCGTATGGTATTCCTAAATAACTTATTGTATAATCATCCTTTTGAATACCTTTAATTTTTCCACAGAAAATATTTACAACATTTGGTTGTGAATTATTAAACCATATCCCAAAGTATGATAAAGCAAATATGATAACAATCACGGTCATTAAAATGAAAGCTATTGTTATAATTATATTAAATAAACATGTCATTGAAGTGATACGTCGGAATCTACTCATTCTTAAATTAGTTACTGATGGTGACTGTATATAGTCATTATCATTCCAATGGGCCGTTTCACCATAACTAACTGTCTCCATCTGCATATTTGTTTATTTTTAACCTTCCTTGTTTTTTAACTCCTAGATTCTTTTGACTATTGATTTTTCCAGAGTTTTTTTTCTTATTAAACGTTAAATATTCCAAATAACATAATGTCTGAAAGTATTTATTTAAAAGTAATGAGCTTCTTATAGAAACCATATCGACTTCCCTAACTTATATTGTACAGAAATAACTAGCTAATCAAATTACGTGGATGAATTTTAACCAATCAAATTAATATTATTTAAAGAAATAAACTCAGAAAAAAAACAACTGTTTGCCTGAACAATTGTCATGACAGAAATATTATATACGGATGGGAAAAGTATAAACACTTCTAAGTAACGAAAATAAAGTGATATCATGTACAATTATTCACTGAATGACAGAAAACTCCATAGCCATATCGGATTTTCTTGGTGAATACAAACACAGCATAGATTGAGGTATTAAAAAGCTGAAACATTATTGTTAAAAAAAACTACTTCAACAACCATTCAGTCCATAAAACCATAAATTAGAGGTGTATCCACAGTGTGATCAGGTTGTATATCAGAAGTACCATTTACGGAATCTAGAGTTTAAAAATGATCGCATCCATTTTAAAGCCCTTTGTTTACAGGGATAAGTATTTCCAATCAATTTCAGGTCACTTCCAAAAGACATGTGAGAGCATACTTCATTACATCCTGTACATCCATATGATTCTAAAAATTCAGCTTATCTACAGATCTATTTGTATATAGAATTCCATTTAATTTTTAGAGAGTTATTTATTCTTAACTTAGAACAACCAAGACTTCAACTATTCATATGATAGTTCAGTCATACTTTCAATGAAGAAGCATGTATTACTGTGGTGAACGAGAACAAAAGCAGGGGTAACCAAATGTATTTGAATACAAAGTTACAGAATGTCTTGGTCAAATGTGAGAACTAAAAACAATATATACTTCATTTAGAAAATGTCAATCAATTGTCTCAGACTTCATTGTTCTTTCGTTTCCACACCAATCATTCTCTGTTCTCGTTCTCTTCTCTTTGATCTTCTTAACCTTCTGCTGCCTGGCATTTCACTTTCAACTGATGATACATACTACTTATAGCTGTTGACATCAGTGGCACACAGCAATACTACTACTGTGATGTATGCTATTTATATATGTCTACATAAGTAGCATATAACACCAATCAGAAGTGGAATGCCTGGCGGCAGAAGGTTGAGAAGATCGAATTGAAGAGAATGAGAATGAAGGAACAATGTAGTTTGAGACAGCTGATAGAAGATGTGCAAATGAAGTATTTAATGTATGGTTTCTCACATTGTACAAAAGAATTCTGTAATTTTGCATTGAATAATAAATTAGTTATCCCTACATCACATAACCGGTCATCTAGAAAATAGAAACAGTATCATTTCAAACTGTCAATTTTGCACGTACTCTAGATAATCCTATTAATTTTAGTTCATTTTTCCCAATAAAATTCTGTTTATTTTTTTATATTTTTCACCCTAATCAACTGAATTCGACAGTCTTTTTAAAACCACAGTGGTATCTATTTTACAAATATAGCAATTGATTGATAAACTTTAACAATAAACGAAATGAACCATTCAATAGAAAAAAACTATAAATTTAACAGTTTGGTTTTTGATTGTTTTTCTGCGTATTCAAAGTAAATTAAAAACTGATAATTCAATTAGACTTAATACAATATATATTTATAGGTAAGAAACTAAACACTGGTTATAAACTGCCCCCCCCCCCGATCAAATAATACACTTATTTCTGTTAGTTGAAAACATCATCTTCTTTATCTTCATTGTCATATGAAATTTAAACTACTCTGTACCTGAATACTCTAGTTCGAATTAACTATTGTATATTTAGTCATTTATTATATCGAAAAAACTAGTTAGTTTGAATGAAGTAATCATGACCAGTTGCTTAAGGGGTTCATTTGTACATGTACTCGAGATTCAATATTGTATTATCTATTCAAAGTGAACACTTAAGATTAGATACTAAAAGATTAACTACGTTTATGAAATATCAAATTATTGCTTGTCTTTTAAATTCATTCAGATAAATCATAGAAAAATTGAAGAAAACACAACGACAAATTAATATTGATGAAATTCATCAGTTTATTATGGTTGATCATCTATAAAATGATCCTAAGAAACCTTCAAATATATTAACCTGGGACATACTAAGAACATTCTGAGAATCTCAGCTAGATCAATTAAACTTTTGAAATCTATTGTTTTACACTATTCAAACAACATGATGCAACAAAAGAGGAACAACTGGTGTATTATTTATTCTCAAGATGTACAAAGATAGCTATAAGAGGTACCAAATCGGATGAATTTATTAATCATTATCAATCTTTAAACTTCATATTCTAATTCGATCATTTATTATTCATAATTTTTGAACATTTCACGCTTCATTCATTTAATCTTCTAATCTTTTTATTTATCATTTACGGTTATTTTTATGATTACTTGAATTTGTTATAATGCTGACACATTAGCATCTGGATTGTATATTTTATTATTATTCGTATGGTTGAAATCATGAGTCAATTGAAGCTAGATCACCATGGAAAACCTGGAAGCACTGGACGACTGTTTCGTCCTATTGTGGGACTCCTCAGCAGTGCACATACACGATCTCGCCTCTCGAGATTCGGAGCCAGGACCTACCAGTCTCGTGCCAGAGCACTCAACCGACTATTATTATTGTTAAAAATATAATATACATTAGTGTTGAGCCTGAATGATAAACCAATAAATGAAAAATATTTCTTCGTTTTATTCATTGTTTTTTTCCAGTAATTTCATGATCGAAGATAAAATATTGAAAAGATAAATGAATAAACGTAATGACAATATAACTATTGATAACAACCAGTCATCATAATAAGCTATTGTAATACGTTTACAGAAACTCTCGTAGACTACTTCATTCTAAATTTTTGAGCTAATTTTAATCGAATTACAATAAAAACTTCACTAATAAACTGTAAAGTTTCACAGAGCACAACATTTCTAATTATGATTTTGTTAACTATAACTCTTCAGGAAAACAAGAAATTGAATACACTTTTTCAATGAGAAAGAAAATTGGTGAAGATTATGTTTGGATGAAAAAAGAACGTAAGATTATGTAGTTTTTAATCAGTTGATTTCTGTCCTGTCTCAGTTTCATTTCTGTCTATTTAACTTTGTGTAAGTGCTTCTCAGTATTACATTAATTTATACTTCAATGTTAGTTTTTGTTTACTTTACCATTGTTTAGTACAACATTCAGTTGTATTTATTGTTTATGATTTTGTGTTCGGCTGATAATCGCTAAGTTTCATAATATCTGTCATTATTAATTATTGAATATAATCATTATGTAACCAGATAAACGTAAATGGAATCTCCATCGTTTAAGATTTTTACTAATAAATTCTTTCGAGAATATTTGTATTTTGTAAAGTAAGAAAAAAGCTGTCGTATCCTGTTTCAAAGCTCTTTCTGATTAGTCAGTTCATATCAGATCGTTAATTTTTTTTATCTTCTATCAAAATTGAATAATTTGGATATCCTGTTCAATATGGATAGATGTTATTTTTCTGTATACATTGAAATATATCGGTAATTCATACAACCATTTGGATTTAAAGTTCTCTAAACTTGTCATATTAACTCTCCTTACAAGTTAATACTTCAAAGAAATGATTTCGGAGAATAATCAATAAAACTATTAAAAAAACTGATACACAAGTCAAAATGGTTTTAGTATCACAGGAAAAAATTACTAGATAATCTATAAATTTTAAATTAATACTTGTAATAAGCACGATGTTTTGATTACCTTAACAAGTTGATGCCATTCCCTAAAAATTAGAACTAAAATAATTTAAAAAAAATCCATTATTTACCTTTAATCTCTTCTTATCAGGTCCAATAAATCAATGAATTTTTGGATTATGCTTCTGTATATTACAGTTAATAGAAACTGTAATAAAAACAATTAGGTAGTCATTGGAGTTAGTATCTCCTAAGCTGAGGAATTTGATCGATAAGGCAACGAAAAGAAATTGTTAGTTATTCCTAAAAAAAAGGACACTAGTTTTTAAAACTTTTAAAAGTATATTATCCAAATGTCGTAATTGAAATGATGCGGAAATTTATTTTAATATCATCTAATTTATTCAGAATTAATTTATTTACCTTACATTATGATTGTTTAATGGAATATTCAAGTTAACAATTGAGAAAGAAACAGGGAAAATGTTATAAATTAAGGACTGTTCTCAAAAACCAAACTTGTTAACATTCAATGTATTTAGACTGCTATAGTTATAGGTACACGTTTACAGACATAGCATGATAACGTTTCTATCACATGCCTGTTGAAATAACTGAGTGACTTGAAACTTACCACCGTAAATCGTAAATTGGATGACTTAAGTAATAACATGAAGATAATAGATGAGGATTTATTTGATATTTAAAATAAAACTAGTTGATATTTGAATTCAGTAATTCTGATTAACTTACATTGATTGATAGTCAGATATGTATACAATAAACTAAATAGTCCCTGGCACTAATTAATGAACAATGTACTGAATAAATATTAACTGTCTAAAATCAGCTTCTTTGACTATGAGAAGGCATTTGTCAGAGTGAATAGAAGAAACTCATGCAACCTTCCTCGACATTATCATGTACCTGAGAAAATCGTCAACATCATACAAAATTCATACGACAGACTACATTGCAAAGTCGTGAATGGAGGACAGCTCACAGATACATTCAATTCGAGGAACAATGTCAGACAAGGCTGGTTACTCTCTCCCTCAATCTTTTATCTACTGGTCGACTGGATTATGAACACCTCCAAATCTGACGGGAAGCACGGAATACAATGGATAGCTTGCATGCAACTACACCATTTGGACTTCACAGACCAACCACTTCTTCTATCCCATACACACCAACTAATGTAGATGAAGACAAGTAGTATAGTAGTGACATCTGCATCAGTAGGCCTCAACACAGACAACGGAGAAATCATGGTCATGAAACACAGAGAACACAAACTCATTCAAATTTGATGGAGAAGCTCTGAAATTGGTAGAAACTTTCACGCACCAGAACAGCATC